ATACAAGAAGGAAAAGAGAAGAGTAAGAACCTTTGAAAAAAGGAGTCAAAATTTTCTCAGATTGATGTCAAACACCTGTGTCCGGCCCTGAGAAGTTCAGTGAACTCCAAGCAGAACAAGTATAACAAGAATCACATCCAAGTTCATGATAGCCAAAGTATTGAAATCCCAAGATTAAGAGGAGATCCTGAAAGGACTCAGAAGAAAAAGACACGTTACACACCAGAGAAGCATTTGAACAACGCGTGACTTCTGTGAAGATACAGTGGAGACCAGAAGACCATGGAAAGACATTTTTTAAAGCACTAAAAGCAGGAGAAAGGCCTGTCAACTCATATCCAGGGAAAATCTCCTTTATAAACAGGGGTGAAACAACACTTTCCCAAATATGAAAGCTGAGAGAATGTGTTATCAGCAGAACCACACTATAAACGTGCTAAAGAATGTACTTGGCTGATTGCAAAGGATATCAGATGAAAGGTTAGCTCTACGAAAACGAACCCTAGAAATCATAACAGTGCGCTCTAAATTTTCTAGAATATAAAATCATAGAATATTTTACTCTGATTTTATGGTTTTTGGATTTTTATGGTCTTATAATTTTATGATATAAAATCATACAATGTACACAATTCTCTATGCCTCCTTTACCTGTTTTGAAGTCCTTGCTGTACCATGCACCAGTAGTTTATTCCTTCTTATTATTTATTTATATTCTATTTGATGGCTATGCCACATTCTGTTTATTCATTTACCAGTTGGTTATTTATTGTTTCCAGTATTCAGCTACTGTCGACATTTATGTACATATCTTTGTGTATACATATAATTTCCTTTATCTTAAGTGGATGCCAAGTAGCATGATTGACTCTTATTGTAACTTTAGGTTTAGCTTTTTAAAAACTGCCAACTTGTTTGGAAAATAGCTGCACCATTTCACACTTCCACCAGCAGCATATGCGCATCCCAGTTTCTCCACATCATCACCAGCAATCGTTATTGTTGATATTGTTATTTTTGCCATTCTAATTGATGTGAAATGGTATATCATTGTGTATTTACTTTGCAACAATGAATGATGCTAAGCATTTTTTTAATGTGCTAATTCCTATTCATAGCCATTTGTATATATTGGTAAAATGTTCAGATGTTTTGCTTATGTTTTAAATGGGTTGGTTGTCGTCTTATGGGTTACAGCTGCCTTATGCAATCTGAATAGAAGAGTTTTACAGATGTAACGTTTCTCAGTGAAAGAACAATCTGTTATGTAGCAGACAGAACAAAGCCCTTCCTCCAGGATACTCAGGCCCTATTCCTCAGAACTTATGAACCTGTTGTCTGAAGTGGTTAAAAGGGATTTTGCAGCTGATTAATTCGATTAATTTAAGATCTTGAGATGGGACCTTTATCCTGGTTTAAGTGGGTAGACCCACTGTAATCAAGAAGGTCCTTACAAGAGAAAAGAACTAGAGACTGCAGTGATGCACTTTAAAGATGAAGAGGGGCCAGGACTCAGGGACACAGGTGGCCTCTAGAAGTTGGGAAAGGTAAAGAAATGGATTCTCCTTTGAAGCCTCCAGAAGGAACGTGGTTCTGCCGACACTTAGATTTTACACTTCTGACTTCTCCATCAATAGGATAATAGATTCGTGTCTTGTTATAAGCCACTAAGATCAAAGTAATTTGCTACATTAGCTATAGGGAGATAATCATCTTTTAAAACTTACTAGTTTTCTATTTTAATGAAGTCCATTTCACTAATTTTTACGGATTGTGTTTTTGGGAGTTTTAGAAGTCTCATGGTCTTACTGTTCTTTCATTTAGGTCTGTGATCCATTTGGAGTTAATTTTTGTGTGTGCAGTAGGGATCTAAGTGGGATTTTTGTTTGTTTGGGTTTGGTTTGGGGGACTTTTTCCCCCACGGTTTTTCTTTTTGGTGTGTGGGTACCCAGTTGCCGCAGCAACATTTGTTGAAAAAACAAACTACCTTTCTCTTACTGAATTGTCTTGAGAGCTTTGTCAAAAATAAATTAACCATAAATACAAGGCTTTATTTCTGGGTTTAATTCTGTTCCTTTGATGTATACGTCTCTTTTTGTGCTAATACCACTGCCTTAAAAACTATGACTTTCTGTAAAGTTTTGAAATCAGATAGTGAAGTCTTCCAACTTTGTTTTCCTTTTTCAAAATTATTTTGGCTATTGTAGGTCCTTTGTATTTCCGGATAAAATTGAGAATAAGCTTTCCATTTCACACACAGCCTTCTGGGATTTTATTAGGCAGTGCCTTGAATTAATGGAACGGTTTGGGAAGAATTGCTCTCTTGATAATACTGAGTTTTCCAATTCACGATGATGAATCCATCTCCATTAATTTAGTTTCCATTTATTTGGATCTTTAATTTCTCTTAGTAATGTTTTATAGTTGTCATTCTACACATTTTGTACCTTTTTGTTAGAAGTTCAGCTGAGTTATGCTTTTGATGCTGTTGTGAATGGAACGATTTTCTTAATTTTATTTTCCGGTTGTTTATTGGTAGTATATGTATATCTTTGTCTTATGTCCTGTGACCTCATCAAACTTTTTTTTTAGTAATGCAAAACATGTTTGGTGTACTTCTTGCCATTTTCTACGTCCCAAGGTGATGTCATCTATGAATAAAGACACTTTTATTCCTTTCTAATCTGGATGTCTTCATTACGGTAATTTGTTAATTTATTTCACTAGCTAGAACCTGCCAGATAACGTTGAATAAAAGTGGCAAGAGGGGACATCTTTGTCTTGTTCTCCATCTTAGGGAAAACGCATTGTATTGTTTACCATTAAATACAATGTTAGCTGTGGCTTTTCATGAATGTACTTTAACAGGTGGAGGAAATTGCCTTCTATTCCTGGTTTGTTGAGTTTTGTTATCTTGAATTTGTCAGTACTTTTCTATGTCTCCTAAGGTTAACATGCGGTTCCACTCCGTAATTCTATACCGTGTATGACATTAATTCAGTTTTGAATGTTAAATCAACCTGACTTCCTGTCCCCATGGTGTGTAATTCTAGTCACCACTGGTCATGCTGTATCATCCATTTCATATGCTGCTTGCTTGGTTTGCTGCTATTCTGTCGAGTGTCTATATCCCATTATTCTGCAGGTTTCTTGGAAAAGGTAGGTGGGAGTGAGGAATGAAAGTTTGGAAAGGGTTGTGAGAAGACGTTCTGGGGAGATGGTTGTGCTGCATATGGACACCTGGTTGTGTACCTTTCTCAAAAGTCTCAAGGCTGTGTCAGTTTTACTTTTACTTTTATGTAAATTGTGTAAGTTTTCCTAAAAGGCAGGGTGGGCCAGGCGCAGTGGCTCACGCCTGTAATCCCAGCACTTTGGGAGGCCGAGGCAGGCGGATCATGAGGTCACGAGGTCAGGAGATCGAGACCAGCCTGGCCAACATGGTGAAACCCCGTTTCTGCTAAAAATACAAAAACGAGCCAGGCATGGTGGCACGTGCCTGTAATCTCAGCTACTTGGGAGGCTGAGGCAGGAGAATCGCTTGAGCCCGGGAGAGGTTACTGTGAGCTGAGATCACGCCACTGCACTCCCCCCAGGTAACAGAGCAAGACACTGTCTCGAAAAGAAAAAAAAAACAACAAGGTGATAGAGAATTTTCAGGCTCCTAATATTGTTGCTTTTCTAACAAGTAAACTTTTAAAAAAATTCCCAGACAGCGTAAGTCATGTGACAGTGGTAATAAGTGTGAATATCGTTTGCTATTATTGTCTTTTAAAAAGCAAACCCGTGTCTTAAGATTATTTGCTGTGACTCCTCCTCTCACCCAATGCCCTGGAGCTGCTCACCTGAGCCGGCGCCTCCCATCACTCACCTGTAGGTAGGATTCTGAGTGTCATCCTTACATTGAAGTTTAACAAATACACCAGCAATTTATTCCCAAAAACCTTGGTACTGCATGAAAAAGTATTAAATGAAAAATGTTCTCGTGAATTATAGTGAAAAAATAGATATATTTTATCATAATCCAAGATATCCAATTTGTACAGATAGAAAAATCAATAATGTCAATATATAAGAAATGAATACTGTAAAGGTGATTAGATTTGAGTGTAAAATGTGACATGAGGGTTTGTCGTGTGCCCCGGAGGAAAACGGGGAGGTGGAGAGGCCACTCCATGTGAGGCACATTCTGCTTTCTCTCCTGTTACCATCGTCAGCTTCTTGATCCTTAGGGAGCTGCATGGGTATCGAACACGCCGATGTAGAAATAAATCACCCTCATGGGTATCGAACACACCGACGCAGAAATCACCTGCATGGGTATCTAACACACCGATGTAGAAATAAATCAGCTGCATGGGTATCTAACACACCGATGTAGAAATAAATCAGCTGCATGGGTATCTAACACACTGATGTAGAAATAAATCAGCTGCATGGGTATCTAACACACCGATGTAGAAATAAATCAGCTGCATGGGTATCTAACACACCGATGTAGAAATAAATCAGCGGTATGGGTATCTAACACACCGACGCAGAAATCACCTGCTTGGGTATCTAACACACACACCAACGTAGAAATAAATCAGAGCCCAGAAGAGCCTCTCAGGACTAACAAGAGCTAAACATAGTCACACGGAGACTCCTGAGAGCCGCACAGGCCCTCCGCCTTCCCTTGCCCTCTCACTTTCTGGGTGACACAAGAAAACATTTGGTTTCTTCCCAAACTGCTGTGTGGAGAAAATGTATCAGTGCATCTTTGAGATGACAGTATCAAACATTTTATAGCATGTTTGTATAAGGTGCTTTGGAAGAAAAATTCATTATGCTAAAAAATGGTTCATTATCTGAAAAGTGGTTTAACTTCTCAAGAGTGTCTACGGCAAAAAGTCATTGAAGAACTGTTCAGACTTGTGTGAAGTAAATCTGTGGCGAGGGACTGAGATTGTGGTGCATGTTTTTGCTGCAATATATAGCAAATCGCCTTTCTTCTTACACAGATACCTCTTCTGGCTCAGAAGACGAAGGCTCAGTGCAGGGGGACTCCCAGGGCACCCCCACCTCCAGCCAGGGCAGCATCAACATGGAGCACTGGATCAGCCAGGCCATCCACGGCTCCACCACGTCCACCACCTCCTCGTCCTCCACGCAGAGCGGGGGCAGCGGGGCTGCCCACAGGCTGGCGGACGTCATGGCCCAGACCCACATAGGTGAGCACGCTTCACAGTGTCTTTCTGTGCCTGTTGTCTAAATGCCTTTGTGTGTGCACGTTCTCCTCTGTTTGCATCGTGGCTGTGGAATCCCTCAGTGGAAAGAGCGCAGAGCCCTTCTGGCCCCTGGGGTGCTTTGGTAGGATTGTTTCTGGAAGCTGCTTTACTGCTTCTCATGCCCAGGTCCCTCCCACAGCTGGAATTCCAGGGGCCTTCTGTTTATAAGTCCATTCATGTTCCTGGGGAATCCTGCAGCCATATCCGCTTCCATCTTTTCTTCTCACTTTTGCTCCTGCGTGAAACCTTAACAGTCCCAGTCAACAGGACAGGGTTTTAAAGTGTGCTCCTCCTGACAGTGGGAGTCATTTAAGGAAACGAGGGCTTTAACCACTGCCACAGGTGTTCAGATTTCTTGGGCGTGGCGCACTGTTTTGTGTAGGTTCTGTGACAAGGGAGATCCTCTGTATTAGAAAAAGAACGAAGTTAGGATCACTGCCCCACAACGTTTGAAGATGCCGTGGAAAAGGAGTGAAGTGAGAATTACTAGAGGTAGAGCCTGCGCGTGGGGGAGCGGTGATGAGCCTCGTGTTGCTCTGCCTCTGAATGGTTCAGGAGTAAATGTTTTCCATCAAGTACAGGACTAGGGTTGAATAGGATTTGGTGTGTGTCTCTATTAAAGCAGTAACCGGAGACGACTGTGTACCACGTCGCCGATAACAGAGCACAAGCCACAGGCTCAGACCCTCCCAGCACCAGCTACCACAGGAAAGCCTGATCTCTGCAAAACCCTCAGTGGGAAGCAGGTGGATGTCATGTGTGATCAGATAGCCCACAGACACCCCAGAACCCCAGAATGTTCACTTCTAGATCACTGACTCCTTGACACCCAGAGGCGTTTCGGATTGACTTGGGTCCAGCCCCTTCGGTGCTCACTGACACTGAAAGCGTCGGCTGTTTTCTGTCTGGAACAGGAGTTTGCTGTCAGGAGAGCTGGGTCTGTCTCACTTTTCCCAATAACTGCTGCTGGGATCTCGAAGTCTCTTCTCCTGTTTTAGGCTTTTAGTGAGGGGAAAAAAATGAAAAAAATAATTTTTCTCTCTCAGAACTGTTGAGTATAAAGGAGAAAACAGAAATACTCTTTAAAAGTTTGCAAAGTAGTACTCAAATGCAAAGCAGTATTAAACTTCAGTATGACAGTTTCAGGAACATGTACACTGGTTTATGTGAATTAATAACCTATACTTGAAATCACAGTAGGTTAAATATTGAACAGAAATGTGTGACTGTTACATATTTTTCCATAATAAAATTCCGTGTGTATATTGGATCCCAGGATAGTGGCCGAGGCTCTGCCAGGCGTGAACGGGGAGGCCAGACACCACCTCTGCCACTCGGTGGAAGCATTTGTATCCTCGGATTTTGTTCAATTTTAACGAAATGCACAGAGTCTTACCAAGAAAAACACATATTTTTGAACAAATGAATCACTGCACTTGGGCCTCCCTTTGTGGATTTAGCCTTGCAATACTGGAGGAAGTTTTAGTACAAAGAATTAATTTATCCAAACTATGAGGGGCTCCTAACTCATGTACATCAGGGCTCAGTGTGACCCAAATGTAACTCTCGGGTGATCACGTTCCGGTAATTTCTAATTGGGCACAAAGATAATCTTCCTAGACTATCTGGAGATTTTTTGGAAAAGCCGTGGCAAAATAATGAAACTTAGAAGAGGAAAAATATTTTCTGTGGCAAAACAAGAGAAGTAAAAAGTCAGATGTGCATGTGACCTTCTGAGATCATCAGAAGCCTGTGAAGGAGAACGTAGCGTGTGTGATCGTGTGTGCGCGAGTGTTCTAAGGAGTCTGCGCACAACAGAGTCACACTGGCCAAGCCCTCCAGCAGGGGACGGAAGGGGCGGCCACAGAGGCCGCCTTGGTCCTCGGGGAGAAAAGCCCAGGGCTGCAGACTGCAGGCCACCCAGTCTCTCAGAGCTGGCCGCGCTTCTACTTGTTGAAGCGAAGTCTCAAGTCCTTTGCGGATTTTTTCCACCCATTTATGGCAGCAGTTCAGTGGGGACATCGCACATGTAGCTTCCCAGTCAAGCCAGTTCGGCACAGGACAGGAAATGGCATTCTAGTTTTGTTTTCTCCTGCTGTCCCCGCTGTCCATCTAGGAGCTGGGAGGAGGCCTCAGACGCTACCATCCAGTCCGGGAGGCCTGGGGGTCGGTGCTGCAGGAAGCCGGCCGCCTGCCTCCGGGTGGAAGTGGTGGCACCGGCGGGCCCTCCCCTTAGCGAGAGCCGATCATTCTCCTCTTCTCAGTCACGGGCTCCAAGCGAGCGGCGTGGCCAAGTCCACTTGTGACGCCAGCCTGGCACCCTCGGGAGCGCCTGACGCGGCGCCCAGGCGGCTCAGCACCCCCACCCCGCCCGGTTCCCGGGCCACACAGGAGCGTCTTTCACGGCCTCTCTTGCGCCTCGATTTTCTGTCGCTGTTTTTGTGCGTTCCGTGGATTTCGCCGTCCAGGCGGCCTCCGGGCGGCGCTGCGCGGGCAGCGCGCGGTGGAGAAAGGCTTTGGGGACGAGCGCCGCTGTCAGCAGCACAGAACATCGGCTTCTGCGGCTTCTGTGGCTTCTGTGGCTTCTGTCCCGTGGGACGGTGGCGGGCGATCCTGAAAAGCTGCTGTCAAAGGAGGATTCCGAATCCGGATCCGCACCGCGCGCCCACCAGGACTGTGGGTGTGGCGGGCTGGTCCGTGGGCTGCCTGGCGCGTCTTCCTCAACCTTTTATTCATTAACTGGCGAAGCTTTTCCCCGCTTAGCCACCTGCCGCTTGGCTTTCCCTCCACCGCCTGCTGGAGGACAAAGCTCCGTGCGCGCATTGGCCTCCCGCGGTCCTTAGTGCACATTAGGGCGGAAACGCGGTTCTTTGAATGACTAGGATTGTTTGTACTGAGACAAATGATAATAGTTGTTGATGTTTCCCCCTTTAGGAAAGAAAATCCTGCGAACTGTGTATGTGTTAGCTCCCGCAGTCCACCCAACTGCCCTACCTGGTCATGGCCATCACTGTTCCCATTGGATGAATAACTGAGGCCGGAGAGCTTAAGGGACATCCCCAAATCCCCAGAAGTTTCCAGAGCTGGGTTTCCAATTCCAGGCCCTGGGCTGTGTGGACGTGGCCGACAGGAAACGGGACCCTTCCGTGAACACACACAGGGTTCCCCACGCCCTGCCATCGCCGGTCTAGCGTTATTCTAGTTAAAACGCCGCTGACGGGGCTCCTGTTAGGAAACTGAGGTTTCACCGAACTCTGCTCCATTTGCGGCAACATGAGTTATGCTGGGGTCCCCCTTTGTGCGGATGTATGTGGCAGACATGGCTGAGCTCGGCTTTGGCTTCCATGGCACCCCCAGGGTGAACGCCCACGCTCCGGTCTTTTCCTGAGCTATGGCTCAACCTGCAGAGCAAACGCCACAACCACCAGAAACACTCATGATGTGCTTCTTTCCAGAAAATCATTCTGCACCTCCTGATGTAACCACGTACACCTCAGAGCACTCCATACAGGTGGAGCGACCACAGGGTTCCACGGGGTCCCGGACAGCGCCCAAGTACGGCAACGCCGAGCTCATGGAGACCGGGGATGGTACGTCCCAAAGCAGAGATGCGTTTTTTCCTGGTAAACGGTTTGTGCTGATGTCCCGTTCCGTGCCCGTGACTGGGTGTGTTTCTTCCTGGGGTACAGTCTGCTGCCATTTTATCTGCTGAATAACTCACAGTGGTTCAGCAACTGAGAAATTCTTGTACAGGTGTTAAGGCCATGAACAGTCACTTAGAAGAGCAAGATGAAGTTAAATGTACAACAGAATTACTGTCAGATGGGCTGATATGTTGCTTTAGACTTTGGAGGAAAGAGGGTCTTTTTATCCATGTTGGACAAGATGTCAGTGACTTGGTAACAGGCTGCGGCCGAGGGCTTCTCCTTCCTTACTTGTGGCCTGGTCTTGGTACGTTCTGGTTACAGCGGCTGTTTGTATCACCTAGCCCCTATTCTATTTAAGTCTCAGTCCTTCCCGGGATCATAAAAGTCAGTGTAGAACCTAGCAGTGAATGAAATGCAATGCCCCTGTGTGAAGCTGCGTGCCCTCATCTTGTGGTGCACGGAACTCACAGGCGGACAGGGAGGCCTATCTGAGCCCGGACAGGCACAGTGGACAGGGAGGCCTGTCGGAGCCCCGAAAGGCACAGTGGACGGGGAGGCCTATCCAAGCTCCAACAGGCACACCACTGCATCCTCACGTGAGGCAGAGCCCGGCCGTGCCTTTGCAAGTGTCCAGTTAGTGCACTTGAAATCGCCCTGGTTGCCGGTGCGATGACTTTTGCTGGAATGCCTTTCTGTGTCATTATTTGCTTTAGTTCTCTGATAAGTTCAGTCTATAGTAAATTGGCCGTTTTTGTTACTCTTGTCACGGTCATTTTAGTAACTATGTCATCTTTCAAGTCTGTCATCTTTGCCTTTGTTCCCCAGGTAAATCCCGCGTGGTGTATTGTGTCGTCTTGATGTGTCACAGCCTCCCACACCAGAACCCACAGGGGCCCTCGCTGGGAGGGTGATTCTGGGCCACACTCCAGACGTCATGAGCTAGAAGTTCTGGGGGCCCTGAGGTGATTCTGACATCTGCCAAATTAAGCTTGAGAATCATGGCCTGGCGGAGATGGTCTGATTGGTCTGAACCAAATTAGTTGGGCTATTTAATGGGAAAATACTATGTTTAGATGTTGAGAGTTCTGGATTGCGTGTTTTTCTGTGTTTTCAGAGATATGAAATATTTAATGTCTCAATTCTGAAAGTACCCACAGAGCATTTTGAGACACTGATTAAAAATTCTTGATAGAAAAAATTTCCTTGAATTCTGTTCTATTCCCCCCAAATGTTGAGGTCTGTTTTTTATGGTCCAGTGCAGGGGCGAACAAGGGCTCTGCCTCAGGTGAGGGAATGGCCTGCCAGCTGTACCTGCAGAGACCCCTGCACCGGCCAGGCCCACAACTCTGGCTGATGGTTTCCCAGGTCCTGCTGGCCTGCAGCGTGTGCCTGAGGAGGACACTTTCGATCTAGTTGGAGCATCAGTGTCTTGATCCTCTGTCTCGTTCGTTTATTTGATTGATTTATCTTGAAATTTGAAAACTGACTTTTTCATTTATCAAATCAGTTGATTTTCAGAGTGATGCAGCATTTGCTGTAATTAGCACAGTATTATAAAATGGGGTTTTTCTCAGTCCACTTGGATAGGTATGTGCTAGTATTCTGTTACACAAAAATTTGAGTTTAGAGACTTTAACTTCTGTGCTTGAGGATGCGTTGCCTGTGTGTGGGCTGAGCTGTGTGGGTTTGGAACATGTGTGAGGAGCTCAGCCTTATTAGGAGTGGACAGGGCTTGGACGTGGTGGTGCTGGAACCCGAGCCCGGGGCTGTGGGATGCTGGGGGTTCCAGACGTGACTCACCAGCCCGATGTTCTCGTGCCTCCGTGAGGCCGAATGCTGACGGTCCCTGGAGAGACAGACTCAGGGAAGGCCTTACTGCTCCACTGATGGTCTCGCCCTGTTGAGAAGGGGGGCCTGGGGCAGTGGGAATGAGGAGTCTGCCCTCTGCAGATGACAATTCTCTCCTGAGAATCAGAGCCGGGGTCAAGCATGTGTGGTCCTGAGGCTCTTCCCAGCATGACCGGCAGAATAGCGCATGCTGGAACGTGGGAGACGTTCGGGTCCGATGCATCTCTGTCCTGTCTCCTGCGTAGCCACAGGGCTACTGTACAGCATGACCACCTCAGGCCCTTCCCGGGATGGCGTCTAGAAGGACACCAGCCTGTTGCAGCCGTGCTGGGCAGGGGGGCTGTGGGACTGTGGGTGCTCGTTGAAGCTGTGATGATCGCTTCCCCCACCCACTGGTTCCTGTTTTTCAGGAGTACCAGTAAGTAGCCGGGTGTCAGCAAAAATCCAGCAGCTTGTCAATACCCTCAAACGACCGAAACGACCACCTTTACGAGAATTCTTTGTCGATGACTTTGAAGAGTTATTAGAAGGTGAGAGAACCCTTTCCTGCACGTTTCTTGCAGATGCTCCTATGGTCCCATAAGCAATGACGTTTTTTTCTGCAGGGCTATTTTACTTTTTAAGAGCAGTAATCTTGGCATTCATTGGATAATGGGAACCCAGGTATAGGGAGCAGGTGATGTTCCCAGGCAGCCTCGGTGCTGGCAGGTTTCTAAACCTGGTTGTTAGTCGTCCTCTGCAGGAGGTGATTTCGTTCTGTTACCCAGGTCAGGTCTCTCTCTAAGAACTCTAAGAGTATAGAAATACAAGTAAAGTATAAACATACAGAAAAACAAGTAAACTGGGGAAATCCTTCGCTCACAGCCAAACAGGCGTGTGAGGTGCCGTCTCCTCCCTCCTCCTCCTCCTCCTCCTCCTGCCGCTCCTTATAGATGCCAGAGCTGCTGCCTTTGCCCCCAGATGCTCCTGGGTCTTTTTAGACAAACAACTTAAAGTTGAAACAAAGCACAAGAACTGCTCATTATAGCAAACTCGAGCTCCTTATTATCTTATGCATTAAACCACAAGTAAAAACGGCCGGTTTTCTTGTCAGTCGTAAAGTGAGAGACAAGTCTGTTCCAGAAATGGAAGAGATAATTTCCATTCTTACCTCTCGCAAGGATTGGGCAGGTGGTAGTTATGATGCGCTGATTTTAGTTTTACTCAGGAAAATACTCGCTCCGTGTTGCTGTTATTCAGAGTACTTGTAGCAGATTGAAATGTACAGCTCAGACCAGGTGCGGTGGCTTACGCCTGTGATTCCGGCACTGTCGGAGGTCAAGGTGGGCAGATCACTTGAGCCCGGGAGTTCAAGACCAGCCTGGGCAATATGGCAAAACACTGGCTCTACAAAAAAATATATATATGTATACACACACACACACACACTAAAATTAGCTGGGCATGGTGGTGCATGCCTGTAGTCCTAGCTACAGGCTAGGACTGTAGCGGAGGCTAAGGTGGGAGGATAACCTGAGCCTGGGAGGTCGAGGCTGCAGGGAACTGTGATCATGCCATTGCACCACAGCCAAGGCAGAAGAGAGAGACCCTGCCTTGGAAAATAAATGTACCATTCATCTTTAAGGACAGAATATAATTTAGCAAGATTTAAGCAATTTGGGGTCCAAAATCACTAGTTTATGTTGATAATGGAAATGTTCAGCATGGCTGTTTGAATTCCAGGCTCTGCCTGTATGCTGCGCAGTTCCACCTGTTGTCAGTTTGCAGGTGTGTCCGGGTCCGCCTAAGCACTCCAGCTACATGCTGCCTTGGAAATTACAAGAACTGGTTTTTTTACCAGCATTCGTGATGCTTGTGTATAGACCCCAGTTGTAGAAAAGCATGCTTTTCTGTCAGCCAGTAAATGTACACCTTAAGTATAAATCTCCTGGCTTCTTTATAAAGAACAAAAAGTAGCCACGCTAATGTGGATGCATTTCTCTCATAACCTCTTGTATTCAAATGATTTAGTTCAACAACCAGATCCGAACCAACCAAAGCCGGAGGGGGCCCAGATGCTGGCCATGCGTGGAGAGCAGCTGGGCGTGGTCACGAACTGGCCGCCGTCGCTGGAGGCCGCGCTGCAGAGGTGGGGCACCATCTCGCCCAAGGCGCCCTGCCTGACCACCATGGACACCAACGGGAAGCCCCTCTACATCCTCACTTACGGTAATCCCGAGGCTCACCCTCTGCCCTTTGCCCATGGCCACGCACAGCCACTCCCGAACGCACAAAGCTCAGTGTCCGTTACTTCTGGTGACTGATGGATTTTATGCTGCCTTATGTTTCTGGCACAGAAATAAATGGAATCTCGAAAGTTATTTTGTTAAATATTTTTTGAGTTAAAACCAGAAATGGCTGCTTGAAGCAGTGACCATAACTCTTAATAAGATATTAGATTTTCTTAAATACATACGTGATTTATTGAAATGCATGCTTTCAGCAAAGATTGGTAGTTAGAAAAATCTGCCTAAGCTTTCTGATATGTATCACTCAGAAGAAACAAAATCGGTTTCCAAGGGACTTTTCAGAAGGCCAGAGAAACCACCTTTCCCTTAAGTCTTCAGTACAATTAATACAGTCTGAAAACTTGCACATGGTTAACGATAGCAGAGAAATGCGTTCTCTTTTTTTCTGTGGATAAGAGACCATGGAGGAGCAGATTGTCAGGCTTATTTTCTCTTTGCTTCAGCTTTACAAAGAAAATAGTAACTAAAAGGCTGGCATGATGGCTCGTGCCTATAGTCCCAGCTACTTGGGAGCTGAGGCAGGACGATCACTTGTGACCAGGAATTCGAGGCTGCATTGAGCTATGATTGTGTCACTGCACTCCAGCCTCAGTGACAGCAAGACCCCATCTCTAAAAAATTAATTCGAATTTTCAAAAGATAAGAAAATAACTAAAGGACCAAAATGGTTCACATTATGTCTGCATGTCTGAGATTTATGTTGACAGTTGAAATTTTAAACATAGCTGTTTCAATTCTAGGCTCTTGGGCATGGTACAGTACGTCGTTCCACCTGTTGTCTGTTCCCAGGTTTTGTTTTTAACTTTAGGTTTTGTTGTTATAACACAACACTTTTCTGATTGCAGGTAGGAAAGGAATTGATTTCTCCATTAACCATGGAGGCCCAAAGCCAGATGCTCTGTTGAATCATGGAATCTAAGTAGAGCCCAGCCTTTCGGGGTGGGGCTCCGGGAGGCGGCAGCTGTCGACCTGTGCATTTCACCGACAGATGGGGGATTTGGGCCTAGGAGCATACTGGGTTTGGGAGCGTGTGTTTTGTAGCTCCTTTGCGTTTATGGCTTCATTCAGTGGTTTTAAATGGATAGTGTGTGTCATCTATGATGAAGCATAAGCTTTACTTTTTAAATTATGCCCTCAGAAATAGGTTTTATTCAGTCAAAAGGATGAAAGACTTTTCTATGTGACCCTCATCTCCGGCCAAATTCAGCCCTGGAGCTAATTGTGTACTTGGAGTCACCGCTGCTTGACAGCTGATGGCCTCCGAGGCCTCCCCGCCTACATGCTGGGAATTCCAGGAGCAGCCGTGCTCTTCCGGGTGCGTGCGTTCACTCTGAGCACTAACACACGTTCACTTGGGTGTTTTAAGCATGCAGTATGCGTTGGCATGGGACTAAGTTTTAGGAAGTCAAAGACAATAAGACACAGTTCTCACGGGGCTTATGATCTCGGTCAGAAGGATCGCCCCTCTCTGCTGCTGGAACATTGAACAGTGCTGGCGTCTTTCCCCTTCCTGCAAGGTTCAGATGAATGGGAGACGTAAGACACAGACCGAATATTCATATGAAAAGTTGGAGTCATGAGAACTCATGCCCCCAACCAATGCATTTTAACTCCTGTTTTTAAATCATCTATATGTTGTTGTATTTTAATTATCCACATTAATTGCAGGCCGTGGGTTGATCTTGGTTTTTACTTGTTAAAGGAATATAAGAAAGTGACACATTTCCAAATGTAAGATTACAGCTTATCAGATGAAAACGCAGTGAACACTGTGGAAAGCTCCCTCCGCACAGAAACGCTAATGTAGATGAATGAATGCTTGGCTGTTGCTGAGATGACTCAGAAACAAGCTCGTCCAATGAGAATTGTTCTAATACTAAGTAACCTGGTGTAACTGAACGGCTGTATTCTCTAAGCTCCTGCTGTTTCCCCTCAACCCCCAAATTTAGCTTCCTACGAAGCACTGGGGTAGCAGAATTCCCAGCTGATAAACTTAGGATCATTAATAGAAAGTGTAGGTGGCTAATGAAAGCCACAAGTCAAAAAACTTGTGGAACATCTTACAATTCTGTTTTCCACCTTAGACTACCCGTGGCATTTCATAATCTTGTAAAAATAAGTCACGCTGTGCCATTAATTGCCCTTCACGTCCTGCCTCCAGCAGCTCTGCAGTACACTCTGCCGCCTCTGGTTTTCGGGAGAGACCTACCCATTCATTTTGCGTTCCTACCAAGCAGATGCTCGTGTTCATCTCCCTTTTAATGTTTTATTTATGGTTTTCCTATTACTCCAGGTGTTTCGAGCAATCTACACGCCTGAGCTAGCAGCGCATTGGGCCGCCTTTCTGTGGCCTTGCTGCTTTTTTGCGTAGTTGGTGGTGTGTCTCAGGTTCCCGCCTCCTTCCCGGGCTTGCTCCGGTTCAGCCCGTCGCCACCCACTACTTCTCCCCTCACCAGTTACACTGTGTACAGTTGCCTGTTCCTCAGTCCAAACCAAGTGAAATTACAATTAATGTCTAATACAACAGTGCTGACCTCACACACATCTCCTTTATGAATCAGTTAAGAACTGCTGTATCTTTATATCAGCAGCTTAACTTCTTGCCTTTTCTGTTTGAGAAGTATACCAAATATATTTCAATAATTTTGCCAAAAGTTTGCATGTGTTTTATCAAACTCTATTGTTAACTAGCTTCTGTGTGAACTTAGGATGTCAAGACTCTTAGCTGAGAATGAAGTTGAAATTTTCACAAGCTAGAATGGTGCTAATTGAGTGTAATTGATTTATTCAGTTACAACACATTGTTTTTCTATCAATTGCAATGAATTGATTGTTATTGTTTACCCAACTATAATAGTTCCCTAATCTTGTTCACATTAAAGAAATCCGAAGCCACAGAATAATAGTTTTTGTTGGGGAAGAAATACTCCAAGTTACATCTAATGAGCCAGTGATCGTTTTCAGGAAAATAAAATCCCCAAATAGAATTCCAGATGACTGTAAAGCTGCCAGTCTTGAAGACTACCTGTGGTGTTGAGGATGAGGAGCTAAGGAAGACGGGAGGAGGGAACATGAATAAAAGTGTGTCTAGCAAAAGTGCTCAAGAATATGCTAGAATGCACACTGTAACTTTGTATTTCATTACAACTTGCCTGTGACATTAGTAAAATGAAGAAACATTTGCTGAACCCATACTATGACCAGGATATGTCCTAGGAACTAGAACAATCAAAAATAATCATTCTCTTCATGTTCTCATTAGCAAGGGATAAATACTGTGGTAAATAAATAATAATACCCGAGGAGCTCTCATTCCCATAGGAAATAAACAAATTCAGGGTTTTTAAATTTGCACTGTGTTGTAAACAACGAAATCTGATTTAGCGTTTACATTTAAAATAGGGAAAAGATTAAAACAGTGATTGCATTGAAACAAAATAGTTAAGATTGCTGTTACCTTTATTACACTATTAAAGCATTATCGTGTCTTCTAACACCTTGACTACCGAGAAGCTCTCGCAGCTGAAGCCTCTGAGACTAGGTTGTAAAAGGCCATTGTGTGATTTAAGAACCCATTTTAGGCTTTAAAGTCATTGTTATTTGATCTCAGACTGTTATATTTACCATTATCTGTATCTGAATCCAAGGATTCATCATTAAAAACCCTAAAACCCTGAGGCTAGGAAAGTTTGAAGGTGAGAAACACAGGACTGGAGTTTGGAGCCTCTCGAGGTGGTTTTGTGCTCTGTGTTCCTCAGTCCCGTGGGACCGACTGTGGATGAGGAATGTGTCACCGGGTGTGACTGCGGCAGTGACGCTGTTACGGTGGCCCCACAGGACTTTCCCCCCTAGAACCTTCCCCACGGTTTCTGTGCTGACCATCGGTGTTTTCAGGGGCTTTGTTGCAGGCACTTCGTGCACTCAGAGGGGATTTGTTTTGTGCCGGCCTTGTTCCGGCGTCCGGGCAGCTCTGACTGTTGCAGTTGGAGTCATTGCTTTTACTCTTCTTGACTCCAGGGACTCAGGATGAGTTGGAGCTTTGATCTGCAGGGAGAAGGTTCTTGGGGCCCTCCTGCTCCCTGGCAGTGTCATTTCAGCTGGGCAGATCCCAGCCCTGTGACGGTGTTTGCACTGTCAGCTCCCCCCACCGCTGGCCCCACATCACAAATCAGAAGACAGGCCAACACTTGGTTTTCACTTATTTTCATTCTTTCTCCTGAAGCTTTGTTTTTAGAATCCCTGTTCTTTCACTCATTTTCCATTCTCACCTACCAGTTCCCCCTTTGCTCAGCTGCCCCCAGTTCAAGTCGCTTGCAGACCATGATACAGGAAGCAGAGTGGACTCATGCCCTGGACTTCGGTTTGCGGAAGCAGTGCTCTCCGTATGGCTTAACGTGCACATTTGTCTGTGATTTGTATTCATAGGCAAGCTGTGGACGAGAAGTATGAAGGTCGCTTACAGCATTCTGCACAAATTAGGCACAAAGCAGGAACCCATGGTGCGGCCTGGAGATAGGGTAAGTGCACCTTAAATTGTTGAATCTACAAAACACACAGTCCTGTGTGGAAAAGATGCCCACTGTTTAAACGTTACAGAGTTCAGCGCCACCTCCGCTTTCCACTGGAAAGCAAGTTTTCCTTCTTAACTGCTACCTGGTAAGTTACACAGGACAGATACTATTAATGGTATCTCCATTCTAATGTTACATCCTGAGCAGGTAATGGTCTTGTCCATGCCTTATGCCCCAGTTTAGATGTGGAGCTGGGTATAGAACCTGGTTTTCTTGCATTTATATGTACAGCCTTCTACCTATGTGCTTTACATGCCCCAAAGATTAGGTTATCCTACCTAAAGGACTCCAAGTGAATGACATAAAGACATCATTTAGAGCTCCATAAACCAACAGAAGCATGAGCTTTGATTACTTAAGCAATACTATAAAGGCATGAGTCTGCTGTGGGGCGTCTTCAACAGATTGCAGCAGGTCCAGGAGACTGTGGACTGGGATTCTTTCCCATTTTTTATTGAACACATTTGGCCTCTTTTAAAAGTAAACTGTAGGTGTCATATTTCCTGATTATGAAATTTACTACAAAGCTTATAATAATCACAATAGTGTACTGGCTTAGAGACAGACGTATACACCAATGGAACAGAATAAAGAGCCCCGAGATAAACCCTCGTGTATATGGACAAGTGATTTCCAGCAGGGTGCCAAGATATTCAACGGGGAAAGGACATCCTTTCCAACACACAGCGCTGGGAAAACTGGATATCCACCTGCAAGAGAATGAAGTTGGATGTTTACCTAACGTGCAAAAATTCATATGCAAAAAATTCATTCAAAATGGACCAAATGCCTAAATGTAAGAGCTAAAACCACAACCTAGAAGAAAACATAAAGAAAATGCCTTAGAAGAATATATAGAGAAGATACCTCACGATGCTGGATTTGACATTAAAAATATTTGTACATCAAGAAGCACTATCAAGAGAGTGAAAAGGCCACCTACAGAATGGGAGAAAATGTTTGCAAATTATTTGCCAACAGATTAATATCTAGAATATTTAAAGAATTCCTACAACCCACCACCACCAAAAGAAGCAACAACAACAAAAATGTTTAAATGGGTCAGACACTTGAGTAGACGTTTCTCCAAAGATTTGGCAGTGGCCGATACACACATGAAGAGATACTCAGCCTCCCTGATAGGGAAAAGCAAACCAAAAGCTCAGTGAAACGCTGCTTTACACCGAGAAGCATGGCAATGACCAAACCACCGAAAAGGGCACATGTTGGCAAGGACGTGGGGAAATCGGAACCCTTGCGCACTGCTGTGAGAATGTAAAATGGTGCAACCTCTCCGAAAAACATGGCAGTCCCTCAAAAAATTAAACATGGAATTACCGTGTGATCCAGCAATTCTGCTTTGGGGTGTGTACCCAGAAGGATTGAAAGCAGAGTCTAGGAGAGCGATGAGTACACTCAGGCTCATAGCAGCCGACTCACAAAACCAAACGGTGGAAGCAGCCCCAAATCTAAGGACTAGGTGTGAATTTCCCGTCAGAAGGGAGGAAGTTCTGGCACGTAACACGTAGATGAACCTTGAAGATACTATGCCTAGTAAAATAAGCCAGACAGAGAACAGGTACTATGTGATTCCACTCCTATGAGCATAACTGCCCAACAGGTTCACCCCTTGCCTGCTGCCTAGCCAGAGCCAATTTATCTCGACGGGAATTGCAATGGAGAGAGTGATTCACGCAGAGCTGCCTGTGCGGGAGACTGGAGTTCTGTTATTACTCAAATCGGTCTCCCCAAGTGTTCGAGGATCGTTCAGAAGTTTTAAGGATAACTTGGCGGCTGGGGGCTTGGGAAGTGGGGAGTGCTGATTGGTCAGGTTGGAGGTGGACTCAAACGGGGGTCGAAGTGAGTTTTTCCTGCTGTCTTCTGTTCCTGGGTGGGTTCCCAGAACTGGCTGAGCCAGATGACCTGTCTGGGTGGTGTCAGCGGTTCCATCCAGTGCAGGGTCTGCAGAATACCTCCAGCACCGATCTTAGGTTTTATGATAGTGATGTTATCCCCAGGGGCAATTTGGGGAGGTTCAGACTGTTGGAACCAGAGGCTGTATGACCCCTAACGGGTAATTTCTAATCTTGCAGCTAATTTGTTAGTCCTGCAAAGGCAGACTGGTCCCTAAGCAAGAAGGGGGTCATTTCAGGAAAGGGCTATTATCAGTTTTGTTTCAGAGTCGAACTGTGAGCTGAATTCCTTCCCAAGGTTAGTTTGGCCTATACCAGGAATGAACAAGGACAGCTTAAAGACTGGAAGCAAGATGGAGTTGGTTAGGTCTGATCCCTTCCACTGTCATAATTTCCTCAGTTACCATTTTCACAAGAGTGGTTTCATGACATCCGTAGAGTAGTCACACGCTAGAGAACCAAAAGTAGAAAGGTGAGGTGCCAGGGGCTGGGGGAGAGGGATGCAAAGTTCGTGTTTAATAGCAACAGAGTTTCTGTTTGGGAAGCTGACGAAGTTCTAGAGATGGCTGGTGGTGGTGCTTGTACAACAGTGTGAATGTGCTTCATGCCACTGAATTCTACATGTAAAAATTGTTAGAACTGTAAATCGTGTGTTACCACATAATGAAATGGTGATTGTAATGGAGTATCTCCATTATCTGTAATGTGGTCCATAGTCTTAACAGTTTTAACAATTCTTTCATAGTATGGCCTCCAGATACTTGAAGTTGCCATATGATAATTACAAAATAAACTCCTGGGTTCCTCTAAGATGTCAGTAGGGATACAGGAAGCACGGTTTTGATGAAACATATAAAGAGGCTCATTTTAGGCAGGGATTGGTTTAGCTTGGCTGGGTCAGGGGTGAAGGTGCTACTTTTCTAAAATTATTCTTACAAAATATTATCTGAGAAGGGCTCTCGAGGAGAAAAGATGAGCCTGTAGCTCTTGGTTGGGTACCCGGAGGTAGCGTGGAAGGTGCTGAAGCCGTTCGTCTGGACAGCAGGGCCGGCTGTGCGAGGATCCCTGGAGGGGAGCTGGGAATCCTTCGGCCAGAAAGGCCTTCGCTCCCCTGAAGAGCCTGTGCAGGCGTCTCCTGACTGGCTGACGCCTGCTCTGTGAATAATTAGGTACAGTGAGGTATCAAAGAAGTACACAGAGGATTGAATGGAGGGAAGCCATGCGGGTTTACAAAAATTGAGCATCTTTGTATTTCTAAAGTATTATATTGGAATCACTATGGAGATAGCAATAAAACAGGATTTGTGACTGATTCAAATATTGAAGGAATGATGTAAGTACAGAGCGTTCTCTTCCTTAAATTGCAAAAAAATTTTCAGTTTTGATGCTAAAAGAGCCTTTAAGTATTTTCCCCTTTTCTATCCATTACTTGTATTGTCGCGTGTGTACAATAACGTACCATTTTATATTCTGCTGTTATTAACTTTGTTATACCACGTTTCATCACATTTCAGTACAACTCTGCAGTGGTCTATAATACGGAATTTTCAGCATTAACTCTAGTGAGAATTTTAAACCCCTGATAAAGAAGAACTTCCTTTGAGCAGAGGCACCAGGAGCTGGGAGAGGAGCCAGACGCAAGGTGCTTCCTGGGAGAGGGGCTGATTGGAGTCTGGCCGTGGGGAGGACACGTATCCTCTCCGTCTCGGCTGTCTGCCCTTGGTGAAGACTCTGCCTCCAGAGCTGGCATTCTGGGAAGATTAACAAGTCAGAATTGAACATGTTCTTTATGAATAGGTGCAATCATCAGTTTTGGATGGAACTTTAACATCTTCTGAATTCTCGAAGGTTTCCTGGTGTTTTTTGGTCCGCCTTAGGGGAAGCAGTTGTACAGCAGTGGTAATGTGGAAATCTGACAAACATTTAACTGAATACTGTTTACCATATCAAGATCTGAAAAACATGCCATCAGCTCTCAGTCCATCACGTGACACTCATGACTGTAAACCTCAGTTTGAAGAAATAATTGGTTGTGGCTTATCTGCATAGATGTGCAAATCATTTTATTCCCTTTCTAATCTCTCTTAGCAGATTGTAGTGGACTGTAGAAATGCCATACAGAAAGGAAATATTCATATATTCATAGAATCTACAACTTAATTTTGTGTCGGCCAATGATCCTGCGTTCCGACCTTTCCAGCATGGCCTGCTCCCCTCTCAACGACCATCTGGATGCTTTTATGGCAGCCCGCTTACTTACACAGATGATTAAGATGTTTGTCCAAAACTGTTCATGATGAAGTTAGTTCCAGCTAGGACATTTTTAATAAATTGTTTAACTTCAAGAACGAGGCCTGGTGCGGAGGCTCATGCCTGTAATCCCAGCACTTTGGGAGGCTGAGGTGGGTGGATCACTAGGTCAAGAGATCGAGACCAGCCTGGCCAACATGGTGAAACCCTGTATCTACAAAAAATACCAAAAAAAATGGCTGAGAGTGGTGGTGCACACCTATAGTCCTAGCTACTCGCAAGGCTGAGGCAGGAGAATCGCTTGGATCTGGGAAGTAGAGGTTGCAGTGAGCTGAGATTGCACTACTGTACTCCAGCCTGGGCAACACAGCAAGACTGTCTCAAAAAAAAAAAAAAAAAATCCAGAATGAGGTAATGCAAAAATGATGCACGTGTGCTAAATCATAGGAAAATCATAGGATTCATGTGCTGATGAAAACACTGTCCATAAGGAAGAGGAACCCTAATGCTACCCCACACATGAGTAAACTGTGTTAAAATAGAAGCAGAGTTCGCAGGGCATAGTGGGAATCCAGAAATAGGGCTGTCAATTAAAACTCGATCATCGAAGGAAAATTGTTCCTCGTCAAGAAAGGACTATCGGAAAACGTATTTAGAAAACATATTGGCCAGGCACAGTGGCTCACATCTGTAACCCAAACACTTTGGGGGATTCAAGGCAGGAGAATCGCTTGAGGCCAGCCTGGGCAACATAACGAGACCCCATCTTAAACATATTTTTTAAAACTTAGCTGAGTGTAAGGCCAGCCTGGACAACATAGTGAGACCCCATCTAAAATATTCTTTAAAAATTAGCTGGTTATAGTAGTGCCCACCCGTAAGGCAGGAGGATCGCTGGAGCCCACGAGTTCAAGGCTGCAGTGAGCTATGTTTGTGCCACTGCACTCCAGCCTTTGTAATAGAGTGAACTTCTTTCTTTAAAAATAAAAATATCTATTAGCAGGTACCGATATTACTTGACAATGTACATTAACCACAGTTTTAGAACTCTGACAATTCTCTTAGGAACTTAGTTGATCTGGCAGGATGGATCGGTGCCACATCCAGGCAGCTACACAGGGAAGACTTTGCTGCAGGGAGGGGCAGGGCCCACAACAAGTGCACGCGTGTGGCATCAGGACTGATGCTGCTACCGGCCCTAGTGCCAGTAACTTGGCCTTTACTCATAGTCAGCGTCCGCGAGCTCACGCCGTGTGTCAGGCATCCCACTGAGCTCTCCATGTGCATTCTCTCATTAGACCTTCACTACCACTTTAAGACATAGGCTCTATCATTCTCACTTTTCAGAGAGCACTAAGGCTTGGAGAGGCCACCATTGTGCCTGAGATCCCAGAGCTAAACACTGACATGGGATCTGAGCCGAGTCCTGCGCACGGCCTAACAAACTGCACAACTGTCCCATGACAGTTATGAAGGCTGCGTAGAAATACAAGGAAGTACTTACAAAGCTTAGTGAGAAACAGCAGGATATGACTTCATCTATGTGAAATATGTGGGTATGGAAGGTAATATGCAGCAAATAAAGGCAGTTGTACTCTGGTGATGTCATGACAGACGACTGTTCACACATTTGTTGTCTTCAAGGCCAGGTGCGTGATCTTATTAAAACACGGCTTACTGAAATGCATTTTACATAGGACCTGGTTCTCACTGAAGCATGCCCTCACCTAGAACCAAGCTCTTCCGTGGCGTCTTAGGAAGCCAGGACCCCACGTTAACGCTGACCTGCTCTGGCCTGTCCCACAGGTGGCACTGGTGTTCCCCAACAACGATCCGGCCGCCTTCATGGCAGCTTTCTACGGTTGCCTGCTGGCCGAGGTGGTCCCTGTGCCCATCGAGGTGCCGCTCACGAGGAAGGTAAGGAACGCGCCCTTTGCTCGGTCTCATGCTGAGTGAGATGGCTTTCATGGTGGCTGTCTCCCAGCTGGGTGAGAGTCTCCTCGCTGTTTCTGGGACCTTGGGTTTCCTTCAGTTGCCTCGATAAGGGGCGTGGTCGCTGGTGGGCCCTGCAGCCTGGGATGGGTGTCCCGGAGGGTGGAGCACAGCTTGCTTTGGGGTCAAACATGGAGCAGCAGCCTCTTGGTCAGTAAAGCAAGGGTGTTTGAGAATCTTGTTCCTTGGTGTCATGTGCACTAGAATTGGGGTAAATGATAGTTTTTTGAAATTTATTATTTTTTGAAGGGTGATGGATGCTGCTTTTGTTCAGGTGTTTTGACATCCAGTCCAAGGTTGACCTGTGATTTGTCAGGTCTTATTCTATAAGGAAAATAAACCACTAAACTTGCTATTGTAATTATTGTTTAGTCTGATGTAAAGAAATTAATGTGCATTGTCAGTCAAAAAGTATTTGAAACAGGTTTCAATTTAGAATTTTATTTTGCCAAGGTTAAGGACATGGCCAAGACCCAGCCTCAGGAGGTCCTGAGACCATGTGCCCAGGGTGGTCTGGCTGCAGCTTTTGGGTTCACACATTTTCAGGAGACATGAGACATTAAGTAACACACATAAGACGTATGTTCATTTGGTCTCGACAGCTTGAGGCAGCAGTCGGGGCCTTCCAGGTCACAGGTGGATTCTAAGATTTTCTGATTGGCAGTTGGTTGAAAGTTTATCTAAAGCCCTGGAATCAATAGAAGCCAGTGTTTTAGGGTTCGGGGTTGTAGAGACCAAGGTTTTTATTATGTGGAGGAAGCCTCCAGGCAGCAGGCTTCAGAGAGAATAGATGTAAATGGTTCTTATCAGTCTTAAAAAGGTGCCAGAGTCTTAGTTAATTCTCCCTGGATCAGGAAAAGGCCCTGGAAAGGGAAGGAGATTCTCTACGTAATGTAGATTTTCCCCACAAGAAAGAGCTTTATAGGCTATTCCCAACTATATCAAATATATTTTGAGGTAAAATACTTTGATTTCTTTCAGGGCCTGCTGTTTGTCATGTTGGTATCTTATTGCTACAGAGCATCAGCTTTGTCGGTCTGGAGTTCTCTCTTTTAATGCCATTGCTGGTCAGCTGTGCCTGAATTTAACCAGAGGATGAGGGTGTAAGGAGGCGCTTCTGACCCTCCTTCCCATCACAGCTGAACTGGTTTTTCAGGTTAACTTTGGAATGTCCTTGGCTGAGGGAACGGGTCTCTTCAGTTGGCTGAGGGGCTTAGAATTTTAGTTATGGCTTATGCTGCGTAAACCTGTGATGTGCCCGTGCACACTGCCCTTAAACCATGAGCTCCTTTTAGCACTTTTTTTTTTTTTTTTTTTTTTGGAGATGGAGTTGCTCTGTTTCCCAGGCTGGAATGCAGTGGCATGATTTTAGTTCACTGCAACCTCTGCCTCCTGGCTTCAAGCGATTCTCCTACCTCAGCCTCCTGAGTGGCTGGGATTACAGGCGTGTGCCACCATACCCAGCTAATTTTCCTATTTTTAGTAGAGACGAGATTTTGTTGTGTTGGTCAGGCTGCTCTCAAACTCCTGACCTCAGGTGATCTGCCTGCCTCGGCTTCCCACAGGGCGGGAATTACAGGCGTGAGCCACTGCACCTGGCCCCTTTAGCACATCTTTAATGCGTGCACTGTGTGGGTGACTCTTCTAGCTCTAAAAGGCAACAATCACAGGTAGCCCAGGCTAAGAGTTCCCGAAGAAACTTCCAGCTGTCTTTGTGGCTATTCCAACATTAAAGTTTGTTGACTCAATATTTAAGAAAACCGTCTGCCACCTCTTAGAACACACATGGGTATCTCTTCAGAGTCTATGCCAGTTATACGGTTGCATTTCAATCTGCGGGAATGGGGTTCCTTTCGGAAACAGGAAAGATGATTGCTATTTTCATTTCCTATGTATAAATCCAGGAGGTTCATGCTTGGCCTCCCGAGTATGCGTGTGTCTGGCAGAGGCAGGGGAGTCTGTGGTAGCTGCCATGGGAGAATGCCAGTTCCCCTGCCCCCGGATTTGCAGCCAGTTTCCCCCGGATTTGCAGCCAGCACTCCATATGTGCATCAGACAGGTCAGACTTCCCGTGAGGTGCTTTCTCGTCCCCCTGGTTCCCGTGGTCTTCACGACACGTGAGAAAAGTGGAAGGACTGGAGGACTCCAGTCATGCTTACATGACAGCCTCAGTACTGTAGTTAACCCAGTCCTGGGATCTAGTGAGGAGCTGGCGAGGCTCCCCGTCAGCTGATGTTCATGTCAGTGGTTAGGGGCTCCCTGGACATGCTCTGAGGTCTCTAAGCAACAGTGAAACGATGATTTGCGGGAACCTGTAGGCATCAGCATATGGTGATGGTTCAATAACCAGACACAAAACATTTATCATTGTTTTTCGTAACAATTATTTCTTCTTTTCTTCCCTTGAACAATTTGTATTTGTCCATGTTAAGTGTTATAGCCTGGTGTCCTCCAATCCAGGCTGGTTTGCAGAGGAAAATGATTTGTGTTTGTGAGGGGGTGGTTTTCCTGAGCAGGTTCCAGTGCTGTCCTCAGGTTGGCAGAAATGCCATCCTGTTATCTGAAATCCTAGGCATAGCTCCAAATACCAAGGTGGCGTTCATTTCAGCCATGAAACGTTTCAGTGTAACACATGTTTAAGATGCTTTGAAATAATGAAGTTAAGTACCTTTGAATGGTGGTAAAGACATAAACCGTCCGTTTTGAACAGACCAGAAATCTTTCCAAGGCCACGTGACTGGGAAGGTGTGGCAGTGATAATGGAGAAAGAGGAGCTTTCCTCCCCCACAGGAGGACCGACAGTCCCCCTCGGCTGAGAGCCCCTTGCACCCGAGTAGAGGCTGCAGGTTCACTGTAGATAGGGCAGGTCTGCATGGGGACGAGGGGCATCTCGGGGGGACTCTGTGGTCAGAGGGCAGGGAGCACAGCAGGAGAACAGTGTGGGGACGTCTCAGGAGGCCAGGACTTTTCACGCTCGGAGGTCCCTGGGAACTTAGGTATCAGTGACTGTAACCTGTGCAGGTGATGAGGTCGCAGGCACAGGAAAGAGCCCCTGCCTGTCCCTCACTCACCTCCAGGACATAGGGGAGGGGCCCTCTGTGGCTGCAGTTTTGTCACCAAGCACCATGAGCACGAAAACCCCTCTCAGAAGAAAGGGCTTACGTTCCCACCTTGCCCACTCTATGCCAATATAACCCTGAGGTGACTTTGCCTACAGATGCCTCAGGCTATGCAGAAAGCTGTGGAGAATGCATAGACCTTAACAAGGCATTTAGAAATCTTTACTGTGCAATCCAGTGGTCATGGGATAGAATTCTAGGGAAACCACAAGTGGTTTCACAGGTGAAGGACAGAGACCCTCCCCTGAGGCCAAAGCTGTGGAGAATGCACAGACCTTAACAGGGCATTAGAAACCTTGACTGTGCAAACCAGTGGTCATGGGATAGAATTCTAGGGAAACCACAAGTGATTTCACAGGTGAAGAACAGAGGCCCTCCCTTGAGGCCAAGCCTTTGAGTTCTAAAGACACCGTGACTTGATTTTAAACACTATTTTAACTGACAAGTTATATACATTTATGGGGTAGAGTGTGGTGTTTTGATATATGCATACAACGTGGAATGTTTATCAAACTGATTAACATATCTGTCACCTTGCTTACCTCTCATTTTTTATGGAGACATTTGGAATTTACTCTTGGTTATTTTGAAATGTAGGTAACATTTTTATTGACTATAGTTACCCTGCTCTGCAATAGATCTCAAAACATCTTCCTCCAATCTGAGGCTTTGTCTCTTCTGACTAACATCTTCCCATCTCCTCCCAACCCCTGTATCTCCTCCCTCCCCCCAATCTCCTCCCTCTCTGGCCCTCGTGGTCACCATTCTGTTCACTACTAAATGCCACATGCAAATGAGCTCATGTGGCGTTGGCCTTTCTGTGCCTGGCTTATTTCCGGCAGCGTAATGTCCTTCCGGTTCAGCAATGTCCTTCCTGTTCAGCAGGTGGCTGTTTCCCTCTCCCTCACCGGGCGCCAATAGCCGCCACCTGTGTGGCGCAATGTCCTTCCTCGGGCCCAGCAGGTGGCCGGGCTTCCTCCTCACCGAAGGCCTAATAGCGCCCACTGTGTGGCGTGAATGTCCTCCGCCCAGCAGGTGGCCGGCTTCCTCCCTCACCGAGTAGCCTGAATAGCGCCACTGTGTGCTTAAATGTCCTTCCTCACACATTCAGCAGGTGGTCAAGCTTCCTCCCTCACCGGCGTCGAATAGCCACTGTGTGGTAAATGTCCTTCCTGCCTGCAGAGCATGCAGGTGGCCGGCTTCCCCCCCGGGCAAACAAGGCCGAATGGTACTCTCGTGTGGCGTGCAATGTCCTTCCGGTTCAGCAGGTGGCAGGCTTTCCTCCTTGCTGAAGGCTGAATAGCGCTCACTATGTGGTGTAATGTCCTTCCGGTTCAGCACACGGCCGGCTTGCCTCCTCTCTGAAGGCTGAATAGCACCCAATGTGCCGGGTCGGCCTGCTCTGCATCCATTCGTGGGTCTTTGGGCACTGAGGTTGATTTGTCATCTTGGCGCTTGTGGATAACACTCCAGTGAGGGTAGGCATGCAGATAATCTCCTGGATTCCTGATCAGTTTCAGTTCGTTTGGCCAAATACCCAGTAGCAAGATTACTGGATCATATGGTAGCTCTATTTTTAGGTTTTTGAGAAATCTCCATACCATTTTCCATAATGGCTGTGCTAATTTGCATTACCACCAATAGCATGCAAGGGTTTTCTTTTCTCTGCATCCTCATCAACAGGTATTTTTCCTCTTTTTGATAAACGCCATTGTAACCAATGCAAGCAATGTGAGGTGATGTCTCCCTGTGGATTTTTTTGTTTTGTTTTTTCTTTTTTTTTTTGAAACAGTCTTGCTCTGTCACCCAGGCTGGAGTGCAGTGATATGATCTCTGCTCACTGCAACCTCCACCTCCACCTCCTGGGTTCAAGCTATTCTCCTGCCTCAGCCTCCTGAGTAGCTGGGATTATAGGTGCACACCATGACACCCGGCTAATTTTTGTACTTTTACTAGAGATGGGGTTTAGCTACGCTGGCCAGGCTGTTCTTGAACTCCTGACCTCAAGTGATCTGCCCGCCGTGGTCAACCAAAGTGCTGGGATTACAAGCGTTGAGCCATCTTGCCTGGCTTCCCTGTGGTTAATTTGCATTTCCCTGATGATTAGTGATGTTGAGCAGCTTTTCATGGACCTGTTGGCCATTTGGGTGCCATCCTTTGAGAAGTGTGCCTTTAGAATGTAGCAGTTTGTTGGTCTTAGATAACTTTTCTTATTTTTAACTGAAAGAATCTGTTGGCTATGGTGCAAGTCAAAGTGGGGTCAGATGAGCATATTCGTGTAGTGATAAGTATGTGAACCCTAATATTTCTTCCATCTGCCAGTCCTACAGCCACTAGAAGTGTCTTCGAACAAAGGCCCTAATGAGAACCCAGTTTTCTGAACACATCTTGGGAGGATTCCTTTTTTTTTTTTTTTTCTTCCTGAGACGGAGTATTGCCCTGTCACCCAGGCTGGAGTGCAGTGGCGTAATCTCTGCTCACTGCAAGCTCTGCCCCTGGGAGGATTCTTTTTATTCACACTTTCCTGAGATGTAGCACCTGTTTCCCGGAGTTGGCCTCAGATCCAGCCAGATGAGGCCGACATCACCTTTCCAAGGACAGAGAACTAAGGCCTGTGAGTCAAGAAAGCCCCTAGTCCAGGCGCAGCCAGGTCCCATCCTTGGGTCACCTGCGGAGGCCGTGAGGCCCACCGAGGACCTGCAGCCATTTGCTTCCGATGCTGTGTGTGGGGTCCACCTGTCCGATCCCTTTCTTTGTTGAGTGTGTATGCGTGTGTGTGTGGGCACGTGTGTGAGTGTTGAGTGTGTGTTGAGTGTGGGCACGTGTGTATGCATGGGCACGTGTGAGAGTGGGGGCACTGTGGGCACGTGTGTATGCATGGGCACATGTATGTGAGTGTGACTGTTGAGTGTGTATGCATCCGTGTGTGTGCGTGTGCATGTGTATGTGGGCACGTCTGTGTGTTGAAGGCTGCACGGGTTTCCTCCCACACAGGTGTGTAGGGTGAGACATGGTAAGTGCTGTTCTGAGTGCACTGGCCGGGGCTGGGCAGAGCTGTGCAGAGGGCTGGCGTCTGACGGGGCGGTGGGGGCGCTCTACACGTGCTGAGGAGCAGCAGACCCAGCCTCACCTTGGCTGAACCGTAGCCACATCCTCCCAGGCCTGCCGCTCCTGTGGTTTTCAGTCTCTTATTTCTTAGGGAGTCTTGTTATGTGTATGATTTTATCATTTGGGGGATTAAATCATGGGCAGACATTACCAGGGCAGGGTTTAGGGAAAGGTTGGCTCCTGGCCTGAGGTCAGCGTTCCACCCATAGCCATGAGTGACTGGGCTCAGCCGTTCCTCCGTCTTGTGATCGTCACGCATGTGCTCCTGCCTCGCCCGGCACTTTCTGGCTCCGCGGAGCTGCCTTCCTGCTGTGGAAGCTAACGTCGCCCCACCTCTGCCCCTTACCTCTGCAGAGTTGGGACGTTTGCTAATGTCATGTTCACATTCACATTAAAGTAACCGATTAGGGCTTTACTTGAGCAAGCACCGCGTGTGGGAAAAGCACCACAAGACGTCCCCGAGGCGGGTTCCGTCTGTCCGCTGAGCTCCCGATGACCAGACCTTGGGGAGCTACGTTGTGTGTGCTAGTTGGCCCTTTTGGCTATTGCTCTGTGAAAATTCCACAGAGAGGCGTTTTCACTGCAGATTTAAATCTACAGTAAGAAAAGTACTAAACACTTAAGAGACTACAGCTTTGAAATTTTAATGCTGCCTAATTTACCCAGGTGAAAACGTCACTCTTCAGCTCATGTTCTCCCGTTTTCAGGGAAACAGGTGGGAAGATCCACAGCCAGGCCTCTGATCACCAACAGCAACCGGGCCGTGTAGGGTCCATGCAGGGGAGGGGGGCGTCCACGCTCAGCCATCTGGGGAGTGAAGACGGTGACTTGCTCACTACAATGTGGTATTTTTAGTTCCTGGAACCCTGGCTGTTTTGGAGCTTTCGGTTTATTTTATGAATGAAATAATGGAAAACCCACACAGCTGGCACAGCTGGCAGGCGTAGAGAGAGTGACGTGAGTGCCTTGGCTGCCTTTGGGCAGATGGACAGGAGTGAGGACTGGCGTGGTCTGCTCAGGTCTGACCTTCCAAACCGGAGCTGGCAGCCTGGAGCCACCTGTACCTGGTGTCTCCGGTGAGGCTGCACAGCAGTGGCCCGTTTCAGCAAGCTTCAGTTATTTCACTGAGACCGAGCTGTTCAGGGTGAGGAGAAGGTGACCCAGGTCTTCTTTCCTCTGGCTGAGGTTCCCTGCCTGGCACCCATGCCAGGTGTGCCTTCCATGCCTTTGGTCTTTGAATGTTTCAAAGATCAGGCACTTGGTGTTAGTGTGTTAGTAGAAGTGTTTTTTCAGACCCTATCTGTTCTCTACAGTAATTTTGTCCTATGATCACAGTCTTATGGAATCGGAGGGAACCGTAACAGCAGCCTCTTAATGTGACCCGCTGAGCACTTTGCATACACTCTTCCAATTTATCCTCAACAAACCTGGGAGACGCCGCTCTTTCTGTCCCTGTTTTACCCGTGAGGACACTGAGGTCGCTGAGCACTTCCCATACACTCTTCTAATTTATCCTCAACAAACCTGGGAGATGCTGTTCTTTCTGTCCCTGTTTTACCCATGAGGACACTGAGGCCATGCCAGCTCACCTGTTCGGGGTTCCACAGATGCCAAGCAGCAGGGCTGGGGTTGGATCCCCGTTCTGCAGACTCCAGGGTCTGTGCGAACTCTGGAGGGAGGGCTGAAGGCCGGGCGGAGCAGGGCGGGTCGTGGATTCTCAACCCCTCTCTCTCTGTTGCCCTCTCAGGATGCAGGGAGCCAGCAAATAGGTTTCTTACTTGGAAGCTGTGGTGTTACCGTAGCCTTGACTAGTGACGCCTGCCATAAAGGACTTCCAAAAAGCCCAACAGGAGAGATCCCACAGTTTAAAGGTATGCCACCGAGGCTCCGAGAGCTCGCATGCCCACATCCTTTGTCAGAAGACGGGTGCGGGAATACGTTACCCCGCCTCGGTTTCAATCCTCTGTGGAATGAAACGTCAGTTGCGGACCCACAACTTTTCACGCGTTCGCGTCCCCGATGGCGCAGCCGGGCTGCCGACCCGTGGGGTGACGTGAAGGTAATGAATGGTGGAGGCTTGGGTGCTCTTCTGTTCATGTCTTAGATCTCGTGAAATCCGGAAACACCAGAGATTCAATCTGGTTGATGTGTTTGAAAGGGTAGCACATGAATGGAGAGAAATTCTGCAGGCCTACTTTCTGAGTAACGTTTAAAAGGAACTTGTCGTTTATTTCCAAGGTTGGCCAAAGCTGCTGTGGTTTGTCACAGAGTCGAAACATCTCTCCAAACCGCCCCGAGACTGGTTCCCACACATTAAAGATGCCAATAACGACACTGCGTATATCGAGGTGAGTCAGCCTCGGCCGCCTCCACTGGCCCTGAGTGTGGCCTTGGGAACTAATGTGTGTTTCCGACGGTTACTCGAGCGCCAAAATTCAGGAACTCGGAGACCTCAAGTAACCAGAAAAGCTGCCGTGACCTCCCAGCCCCACCTCCCTCATGCTTTCTGTCTTATTTCAGTACAAGACGTGTAAGGACGGCAGCGTGCTGGGTGTGACGGTGACGAGGACCGCGCTGCTGACACACTGCCAGGCCCTGACGCAGGCGTGCGGCTACACGGAAGGTACCAGAGCCCGACTCCTTGGGGTACCAGACCCCGACTCCTTGGGACCCTGGTTCTAGCCGGGACACCTGACACGAAGACCACGTCCTTCCCATGAGTAGCTGTAGAAATAGTGTGACGTTTGTGCCCAGCTCCGCTGACGTTCACTTATTACTGAATTAGGATATCAGCTCAGCCTGCCATAGCAAAATACCACAGACGCGGCGGCTTCAACACAGACATTTATGTCTGCACAGCGCGGAGGTCTGAGGTCAGCGTGCCCTTGGGCAGTTCCCAGTGGGGGTCTCTTCCCGGCTTCTCATAGGAGGTGTAAGATGTGCGGTTAGGCGCCCATCCCTACGACCCCACTGAACGCGAATGACCTCCTGAAAGGCGCACGCTCCACACACAGCCACGCTGGGGCCTGGGGCTTCAACATGTGGATTTGGGGAGACGCCGTGAACACCGTGGAGCTTCATCCCGGGTGCACATGAGCGTGTCTTTAGTTGTGAGGAAAACACCCGTGTGTCCGCCCGCCCTCCCGGTTAGGTCAGTCTCTGCAGGTCTGCTGCTGCGGTGAAGAAGAATTGGTGCTTGTTATGTGTTTTCCTTCCCGCGGGTGGGCTGGTATGGGAGGCAAAGAGGGGAAGTGAGTGGAGGGAACTGTGGCAACCGCGCTAAAATGGCACAGAGGGGGGAGGGTGCAAGCAGATCCCGGGGACCCCCAGAGACTCCCCGCATGGGTGCCCTGAGTCCTACTGAGATCCCCTGAAACCTCCTGAGATATTCTGAGACACTGTGATGTGCCCTGAGGCCCTTTGAGACCCCTTCAGAACCCCCAGAGAACCCCCATGACCTCGAGAGCCCTTGGGATGCCCTGAGGCCCCTTGAGACCCCCTGCAGAGACCCCCTGAGGCCCCCTGAGATCCCCTTGACCAGGCCCCTGACGGGACAGCTGCAGTGTACACCCCTGCCTGGCATCTCTTTCTGGAACCTAACGAAGCCATGGTGGCATCTGCCACGCCGCTGTGGAATGAAACACTTTTCTTTTTCTACTATTTTTATTTTCTCCCCATCCTCATCATCTCCCTTTTAAAAACAACGCACGTGTCTCGCGGGTGTTCTGATGTTTAGCCGTGGACTTTCCACACTTGGGGGTACATTGTCCCCTGCTCCTTGCCCTGATAACACCTCCAAGGTCCAGGGCGGTCACTCTTGGGGAGGGAATAGATACATTCCCTCCTTGCTTCACCACTTTCAAAAGGAACTTGGGTTGTCTCCTTTAGCCGTGTGTTGTGAAAGCCCCTCTGTCTGTTACCCTCCACACTTCAGCCTTTAGACGGGGAGACTGAGTCATGTGCAGGCAGCTACTGACCTCGGGGGGCCAGGTGACTTCCAGAGAAAGCTGGGCCTGTTCACGGCCAGCGTGCTCTGCGATAGTAATCCTCATCAAGCACGAGCTTTTAGCACCTTTTTAGAGCCCTCCCCCATAGTCATCGAATAGATTTCCCTCCCTGTCTTCCAAATTCCGGTGCCTCCTTGTTTTACTGCAACTCCAACCTTGGAGACTTCCAGTAGAGCTGCGTAGGTCCCCATGTTGCCAAAAATCCACCTCCTCTGTGCACACAGGGCTTTCCAGCTGCAAAGCTTCCTTTCCTGGGAGACTCATGAGGAAGTGAAAAGAAATCTTTTAAAGAACAAGGCAGGGAGGGAGAGAGACATAAAAAGAGAAGGAACCCTGTGTTTTAAGGCGCAGCCTGGAGAGCTAACGCTGCTCACTCGTGTGTCAGGATATCTCTAGAAATTCCAGGTGGCCAGCACTCAAACGGGTCTACAGAATTTCCACCAAGATACAGCAAAATGGGATTTTTCCAAGATCTGTTATTTCCTGTGATGCAGTGTTGGATTTTCTTTGCATTTTGGTCTGTTGCTGTCCCGTCCTAAGAAAGAATCTCCTGACTCCCTCTTTTGTGCAGCTGAAACCATCGTGAATGTGCTGGACTTCAAGAAAGACGTCGGGCTCTGGCATGGCATCCTGACAGTAAGTGAGGTCCTCTGGCCACGTCTGTCCACACAGCAGTCCCCCCCAGCCCAGCCTGTCCACACAGGAGTCCCCCCCCACGCCCCCGCCCAGCCTGTCCACACAGGAGTCCCCCGCCCCACGCCCAGCCTGTCTGGGAGTCCCCCCGCCCCCACCCAGCTGCCCAGAGTCCCCCCCGCCCAGCCTGTCACACAGGAGTCTCCCCCGCCGCCCAGCCTGTCACACAGTCCCCCACCCAGCCTGTCCACACAGGGAGTCCCCCGCCCAGCCTGTCCACAGAGTCCCCCGTAGCCTGTCCACACAGCAGTCCCCCGCCCCGCAGCCTGTCCACGAGGTCCCCCGCCCAGCCTGTCCCCACCGGAGTCCCCCCACCGCCCCAGCCTGTCCACACAGTCACACCGCCCAGCCTGTCCACACAGGGGTCCCCCGCCAGCCTGTCCCCAGCAGTCCCCCCACGCCCCACCCAGCCTGTCCACACAGGAGGTCCCCCGCCCAGCCTGTCCCACAGGAGTCCCCCGCCCCCCACGCCCAGCCTGTCCACACAGGAGTCCCCCACGCCTGTCACACAGGAGTCCCCCGCCCAGCCTGTCACACAGGAGGTCCCCCACGCCCAGCCTGTCCACACAGCAGTCCCCGCCCAGCCTGTCCACACAGGAGTCCCCCGCCCCCGCCCAGCCTGTCACACAGCGGGTCCCCGCCCCCACCCAGCTGTCCACACAGTCCCCCCCGCCCAGCCTGTCACACAGAGTCCCCCGCCGCCAGCCTGTCCACACAGGAGTCCCCGACCGCCCAGCCTGTCACACAGGAGTTCCCCGCCCAGCCTGTCCACACAGGAGACCCCCACCCCACGCCTGTCACAGGAGCCCCCACCGCCCAGCCCTGTCATGAGGCCCCCACCGCCCAGCCTGTCCACACAGAGTGTGCTGGGTGTCTGAATACAAATGCCTAGGTGTGCATACTCACGTTTCATGGGCAAGTTGCTTCCTCCCACTGAAGAGAAAATCATTACTGTTTAGAACCGATGCTGTCCACTAAGTCAGTTCACGGTGCACACCACAAGCCAGTTGTTTCAGCAGCCACTGGTTTTGAGGTCTTGAGACAAGTGGATTGAGGTTACAGCTGCTGAAAACAGCCTTCCAGGCTCACGTGGAATCATTATCTTCCCTTCCCGCTTTTAGCATTCAGTATCTTAGCGTAACATCAAGGTTGGTTGGCGTGTGGATCACTGTCTGTACATCTAGTTAGCTGCCACGTTCCTGTTATTTCTTGGAGTCAGTAGGGCCTGCTGTTGTGTATTTACTCTGGGGAAAGAAGTAGTTTATAGATTTGCCCTTGAGGATGGTAATCAGTGTGTCTTGCAGGAAATGATTGTCTCACAATCACGAGTGCCCTGGATGACTGTGCCGGGCCTGGGCACTCCTCATAAGGAAAAACCTTATTTATTTTTAAAACAAGCGTAGCACTTAAAAGCTACGTGAGTGCTTCATGACGCTCCCCTCATCTGTTTCATATGTGGTGATTTTCACTCATTTTTCTAGTAGTTGTCACATGAGTGATGGGCGTATGAATATAGGGTTTGCCGTTTCTCAGCGAACCAGAGATTCATGTGAAAGGAGCTGGTAAGCATTTCCTGAATATCTGTGGCTCCCAGGCAGCCCACCTGGCTCTGCCTTCTGTGACACGTGTGGGTCGTCTCTCAAGTCTGATGCTGTTAGGGGGTGAGATGGAGCAGCGTGGTCCCCTTTCCGTCGTGTGCTGCTGCAGTGGGAGCCCGGCTTTGAGGCTGGGGACCCTGGGATGAGATGGAGCAGCGTGGTCCCAGCGTAGTGTGCTGGTGCAGTGGGAGCCCGGCACAGGGCTGGGGGACCTGGGATGGGGGGGAGCAGTGTGGTCCCAGCGCACCGTCGTGTGTGCTGGTGCAGTGGAAGCCCGGCTTTGGGGCTGGAGGACCTGGGCTTGTGTCTCAACCCTTCCTTTCTTTTTGCTTTGTGACTCGGGCATATCACACGTGCATCTAAGTCCCTTCTCAAATCTGAACCTCAGTTTTCCTATCTGTGAATAGGAGCGACAATCTATTTGGCCCGTGGCTGGTGTGAGAATTGTGCTTGGCCTGCAGTGCCAAGCACCCACTCCACCTACACGTTTGACACATGATTCAATGATCAGGTCCTAAAGAACAGATAGCTACGTCATATTTATGCCAGTAGTCACTCTCATCGTTGACCCCCAAGTTTCTGGCTGCCATGGCGTTGGTCACTTTGCAGCCCTGCTTTCGAGGCCTCGTTGTAGGGCCGCCTCTCTGGTCTCCCGCTGGTGAGCACCAGCCTGCCTGCTCTGTGCTCTGGGAGTGCGGCCGGCAGCCGGCAGGTGAGTCTCTCCACTGCTCGCATCAGGCGGAGTCTCTGGGCTTGACAGCGGCAGCTTTTAAGATGCCCTCACAAACCCCAGCACAGAGTGGGAGGGAGTCGGTGGAGCTCTGAGGAGGGAGGGAAGGGAGCACGTTGTCTTTCCGCTTTCATCTGGAGCTTCTGAATCGAGCAGTGGCTCTGCGGAGGCAGAGGTCTGTGCCCTCTTGTCTGCCCCCAACCAGCCTTCTAAGACTGCAAGGATCTAGCCCGCTGCACAGCCCGCCAGGTGGTGCCTGAGTCTGACTGCTGTGGCGTGAGGCAGGTGTGAGTCAGCGTCAGCATGCAGCGTGCAGCAAGCGTGCAGGTACTAGCCAGTAACTTGTCCTACTTTATTTTTGTCAGATCGAATCTGCTGTAGCAAGGCCTGGCCAGAGCCAGGAGAAATGTGAGCTTCCCTCGGCCCGGCGTTTCCAGAGCAGCGTGCAGTTCTCAAGGCGGGTTCTGCGAGTAAAAGTTAGCATAACACTAGGAAGAATTAGGCTTGAGGATACGAAAGCTGTTGAAAATGATCCTTCACCAAGGTTTCGTCTTAAAAGGATTTGTGCCAAATTATTTAATTCTGTCAGTAGTAGTTTAGGGAAAGCAGTGGAGTTGAGGCAGAATTCGCTTTCCTTGGACATCTTTACAAGGATTACACCAGACCCCACCGTTACTTGCGCTCATGCAGACCAGCCGTCTCCGCCCTCTCCCACCCTAAGGCCTCCAGGGTGCTGTGCGACTGCTGCTCCTCCGGGCCTGTGCAGCCTGTGGTGTCTGTGGTGCTCCTGAGTCCCTGCTCCTCCTCCAGGCCCATTTGCAGCCTGATCTGTAGTGCTTCTGTGAGCGGCTCCTTCTCCTCCTCTTTCGCCCTTTCCCCCCTCCTCTTCCCCCCTCCTCTTCCCCCACTCCTCCCTCTTTTCCCCCTCCTCTTCCTTCCCCCCTCCTCTCTTCACTTCCCCCTCCTCTTCCTTCCCCCCTTCCCCTTCCCCTCTCTTCCTTTCCCCCCTCCTCTTCCTTTTCCCCCTCCTCTTCCCCTTTCCCCCCTCCTCTTCCCCTTTCCCCCCTCCTCTTCCCCTTCCCCTCTTCCCCCTTCCCCCTCCTCTTCCCCTTCCCCCTCCTTCCCTTCCCCCTCCTCTTCCCTTCCCCCTCCTCTTCTTCCCCTTCCCCCTCCTCTTCCTTCCCCCCACCTTCCCCCTTCCACCCTCCTCTTCCCTCCCCCTCCTCTTCCCCTTCCCCCTCTTCCTTCCCCCTCCTCTTCCCTTTCCCCCTCCTCTTTCCCCCTCCTCTTCCCCTTTCCCCCTCCTCTTCCCCTTTCCCCCTTCCCCTTTCCCCCCTCCTCTTCCCCTTCCCCTGCCTACCTACCCTGTCCCCTTTCCCCCCTCCTCTTCCCCTTCCCCCCCTCCTCTTCCCCTTCCCCCCCCTCCTCTTCCCCTTCCCCCTCCTCTTCCCCTTCCCCCTCCTCTTCCCCTTCCCCCCTCCTCTTCCTTCCCCCTCCTCTTCCCCTTCCCCCTCCTCTTCCTTCCCCCTCCTCTTCCCTTCCCCCCTCCTCTTCCCCTTCCCCCTCCTCTTCCCCTTTCCCCCTCCTCTTCCCCTTCCCTTCCCTTCCCCCTTCCTTCCCCTTCCCCCTTCCCCCTTCCCCTTCCCCCTTTCCCCCCTTCCCTTCCTTCCCCCCTTCTCCTTCCCCTTCCCCCTTCTCCTTCTTCCCCCCTTCCCCCTTCTCCCCTTCCCCCCTTCCCCCTTCCCCCTTCCCCCCTTCCCCTTCCTTCCCTTCCCTTCCCCTTCCCCTTCCCCTTCCCCTTCCCCTTCCCCCTTCCCCCCTTCCTTCCCCTTCCCCCTTCCTTCCCCTTCCCCCTTCCCCCTTCCCCTTCCCCCTTCCTCCCCTTCCTCTTCCCCACCTCTTCCTCTTCCCCCTCCTCTTCCCCCCTCCTCCTCCTCTTCCCCCTCCTCTTCCCCCCTCCTCCTCTTCCCCCTCCTCTTCCCCCTCCTCTTCCCCCTCCTCTTCCCCACTCCTCTTCCTCTTCCCCTCCTCTTCCTCTCCCCCTCCTCTTCCCCCTCCTCTTCCCCCTCCTCCTTCCCCCTCCTCTTCCCCCTCCCCCTCCCTTCCCTTTCCCCCCTCCTCCTCCTCTTCCCTCCTCTTCCCCCTCCTCCTCCCTCTTCCCCTCCTCCCCCCCCTCCCTCCTCCCTCTTCCCCTCCTCTTCCCCCCTCCTCCTCCTCTTCCCCTCCTCTTCCCCCCTCTTCCTCTTCCCCCTCCTCTTCCCCCCCCTTCCTCTTCCCCCTCTTCCTCTTCCCCCTCTTCCTCTTCCCCCTCTTCCTCTTCCCCCTTCCTCTTCCCCCTTCACTCTTCCCCCTTCCTCTTCCCCCCTTCCTCTTCCCCCCTCTTCCCCCTCCCCCTCCTCCTCTTCCCCCTCCTCCTCCTCTTCCCCCCTCCTCCTCCTCTTCCCCCCTCCTCCTCTTCCCCCTCCTCTTCCCCCTCCTCTTCCCCCTCCTCCTCCTCCCCCTCCTCCTCCTCCCCTCCTCCTCCTCCTCCTCCTCCTCCTCCTCCCTCCTCCCCCTCCTCCCTCCTCCTCCTCCTCCTCCTCCTCCTCCTCCTCCTCCCCCTCCTCCTCCTCCTCCTCCTCCTCCCTCCTCCCCCTCCTCCTCCTCCTCCTCCTCTTCCCCCCCTCCTCCTCCTCCTCCTCTTCCCCCCTCCTCCTCCTCCCCCTCCCTCCTCTTCCCCTCCTCCTCCTCCTCCCCCTCCTCCTCCTCCTCCTCCTCTTCCTCCTCTTCCTCCTCCCCCTCCTCCTCCTCCTCCTCCTCTTCCTCCTCTTCCTCCTCCTCCTCTTCCTCCTCCTCTTCCCCCTCCTCCTCCTCCCACCTCTTCTCCCTCCTCCTCCCCTCTTCCTCCTCCTCCTCCTCCCCTCTTCCTCCTCCTCTTCCCCTCTTCCTCCTCCTCTTCCCTCTTTAGGGCCCCATGTGGCCTGGTGTCCCACGGCACTCACTGAGAGCTGCTCTCTGCATGCCCCCTCTGTAGTTGCCATCCCTGCCAGCCCCACCTAAGGGAACCCCTCTTCCTCCTCCTCTTCCCCTCTTCTTCTGGGGCCCCATGTGGCCTGGTGTCCACGGCACTCACTGAGAGCTGCTCCTCTGCCATGCCCCCTCTGTAGTTGCCATCCCTGCCAGCCCCACCCTAAGGAACCTACAGGGGCCGTGCGGCCTGGTGTCTGCAGCACTCTGAGGGCTCCCCCTGCCCCCGTGTGGCCTAGTGTCCCTGCCGCTGGCTGAGAGCTGCTCCTCTGCGTGCCCCTCCGTGCTCACCCTGCGTGTTCCTGTGTTGATTGCAGAGCGTCATGAACATGATGCATGTGATCAGCATCCCATACTCGCTGATGAAGGTGAACCCTCTCTCCTGGATCCAGAAGGTCTGCCAGTACAAAGGTGGGTCTGGCGGGGTGCAGTGACTCACGCCTGTAATCCCAGCACTTTAGGAAGCCAGAGGGGGTGGATCATCTGAGGTCAGGAGTTCCAGACCACCCTGGCCAATATAGAGAAAAACCCTGTTTCTACTAATAATACAAAAGTTAGCTGGGCCTGGGGGTGCGTGCCTATAATCCCAGCTACTTGGAAGGTTGAAGCAGGAGAATCACTTGAACCCAGGAAGAGGAGGAGGTTGCTGTGAGCCGAGATTGGTATTAAAAACAAACCAAAAAAAGGCTCGCGGGGGCTGGGTGACAGTGATTCTTCACCCTTCCCCACCACTCACGATGATCTCTCTCTTTCAATAGGGGGCGATCTGACGGTGGCACATACTAACCTATTTCTATTTTTCTTTTAGCAAAAGTGGCGTGTGTGAAATCGAGGGATATGCACTGGGCATTAGTAGCACACAGAGATCAGAGAGACATCAACCTCTCCTCTCTGCGAATGCTGATCGTGGCGGACGGCGCGAACCCCTGTAAGTGAGGAGCCGTGGGAACTAGGCAGGCTATGGAGTCTTTTTTTATTTTTATTTTCCCCAGGTTTCATTCTTTATACTTTTATTTTTCTTTTTCTAATCCTTATCTTGGTAAAGAAGTTGTCTTAAAATCACCAAACCGTATCTCTCCCTCTGGCCGAGAGGTACGATGGCTTAATAAGGACAGGCATGTGTAGACTCCACAGCCCTGGGATTCAGAGGATGTCTTGATTCTGTAGAGAAAGTTCCTTTGGTGACCCTGTTTCCCTGCCTGTAAAACGGTGCTTAAGTCATAAACTTTCATGAGGATGAAATGAAGTAAGCCCTAAGCAGGTAATAAGGAAATATTCAGGAAATATTTGACTGCTCGTACTTTACGGTCTGTAGTAGTTTTCTTGATCAGTAAATTAATTTGTCATTTTACATGTAATTTCATTATCATATTCTCTAACAAAAATACTCAGATAAAGTAAATTAGTGGCTCCACAGAATACTATAAATACACCTTGAGAAATATTTCAGCCAACTGAAACGAGAACCTAGCTAGCATGCTTTTGTGAGAAAAGTATATAAAGCTTAGAAGCAAAGTGAAATTAATGAAAGGTTTCTGACCACATTTATGAAATATGCAACATTTATGTTTGTAAGTTAAAGCAGCATAAACTCCTTTAATACCAGATATACAAAAGCAGACTCATAAACAGGTTTTATAAACAGTTTTCAAATATAAAATTTCAAAAATCCTGAGCTAATTTAATAAACAATTGTTTTAACCCATAACTCTACAAAACAATATAACTCTACAAAACAATACATCTTGCATAAAGGAAAGTATGCCTATATTTGGACATAGTTTAGCAGATATGTTCTTGATAATTACGCCTCGACCTCATCATTTAATAGAGAGGAAAGTTTTCTTCATTTGGTTTAGATTTACCCCTGTCTTGCAACTTCCATACTGAAAACAGTGGAACAAGTCTCAGAAAAGTTACTAAAGTAAGTTCATCTGTCAGAAAAGGGGTCATAAATGTGGAGGTTGAGTTCTTTAAATTCTTGAGTTCTGTTTGAGAATGACCACTTTCAGTGTAACATAAATAATAAATTGTATTAAATATTTTTCCATACTGCCTAGATCCACTTGTGCCTAAATCCCGCCTTCAGAACGGTTTTCTGTGGTGGGATTTGTAATCAATCACAGTGCTTCAGCTGTCTGACCATTGTCCCTCTTTCACTCTAGGGTCTATTTCTTCTTGCGATGCATTTCTCAATGTCTTCCAAAGTAAAGGCCTTCGACAGGAGGTCATCTGTCCTTGTGCCAGCTCGCCAGAGGCCCTCACTGTGGCCATCCGGAGGTACTGGGTCCTGTCGATTTACGTAGCTAACCTAGAGACAGTCCTGATTCAGCAGCGAAGGGAGATCAGGAAATCCTAACAGTGAGCGCTGAGGGTGAGGGTGAAAGCGGGACCTAACCTTTCAAGATGAGTTTATTTCTGTTTTTATGTAGATTCATTCGTTAAAAAACATGTATCCTCCTCCGCAGTTTCACTGTAATTCCTTAGTAAGTGGAACTGTCTAGAGGCTCATGGAATCATAATATCCTGTCCTTGCCGTTGGCAGGAATTTACTCCGATTTCCTCTTGCGTGTGTCAGTCTCTGGTTTCGTCTGGGGTGGGATAGGAATTTACTCCGATTTCCACGTGTGTGTGCGTGGAAACAAGAATGGAATGACCCTCCTCTTCCCCACCACTGGGAGTATTGCTGTGGACACGCTGCCCCAGACCCCCGCACCACACCTCCTTCTGTCTCCCCACACCTCCTCCTGTCTCCCCACACCTCCTCCTGTCTCCCCACACCTCCTCCTGTCTCCCCACACCTCCTTCTCTCTCCCCACACCTCCTTCTCTCTCCCCACACCTCCTCCTGTCTCCCCACACCTCCTTCTCTCTCGCCACACCTCCTTCTCTCTCGCCACACCTCCTTCTCTCTCGCCACACCTCCTCCTGTCTCCCCACACCTCCTTCTCTCTCACCACACCTTCCTCTGGTTTCATCTGGGGTGGGATAGAGTCCGTTTTCATCAGCCTGCTTTTCTTGCAGTGCTACTGACTTCCATGTGCTGTGGGATTTACTGGTATATTTATTTTTTTCATTGTCTGTCTCTGGTGTATAGTTGATGCCTGATGCATGTTTTTTGAATGAATGAAAGTAAAATTTAATGTAGGTAAATTCAGAAAGTTGCCTCCCTTACACTTGCTCTGACAATCCCATGTCATTCACCAGAAGTGAAGCCCAAACATCATGTGTGTTTATGCACGTGATATGCACCCGCTTGACATTTTACATAAGTGGAGCCATGTGTGCGTTTGGGTTTTTGTTTTCATTTTACTTGGTTGACGTAGGTGCCACTGACGGCCTAAATATGCTGTTGTAACATCCGCTGAGAACAGGCTCCTGCAGAGAAGCTGCGTTCCTGTGTCGGCTGTCACCGGCCCACCCAAGGCTGGTCCAGAGGAAGGTGTGGTGAGAGAGAAGGAGGTGTGGTGCGGGGGTCTGGGGCAGCGTGTCCACAGCAATACTCCCAGTGGTGGGGAAGAGGAGGGTCATTCCATTCTTGTGGGGTGAGCTCTGGAGTGTAGATGAGTGCAGGAGGCCTGCTTGCAACTGGCTTCCCATAGCAGTGTGTGGTTTTTAAATTATTATAGGCAAAACTGTGGAAGGGCAGGCATTGACCGGGACACAAACAGAAATAACAAGAGCAGGATGTGTCTCCCTCCCACTGTCTTGCCTGGTGGTCCACGTGGGCACGTACGTCAGGTCGGCTGCGGCCTGCACCCCACGCAGTGTCTGGAGGAGTGGTCTCTGGACACGGCCCACCGTGGGTCACAGCAGCCTGTCTTCAGAGCTACCTCCCTGGAGCTGGCTTCAGTGCTCTTCTCGGGTGTGCCACTTTTCTCGGGTGTGCCACTCTTCTCGGGACCGGGTGTGCCACTTTTCCTACCGGGTGTGCCACTCTTCTCGGTGTGCCACTTTTCTGGTGTGCCACTTTTCTCCGGGTGTGCCACTTTTTCTCGGTGTGCCACTTTCTGGTTGGTGTGATTGAATCTAACAAATTAGAGGGCGAGAGGGATTAAAGGCCACTTTTCTCGGGTGTGCCACTTTTCTCGGGTGTGCCACTTTTCTGGTTGGTGTGATTGGACTCAACAAATTGAAGGGCCGAGAGGGATTAAAAGATACAATTTTAGCATTCCAAGTTGAATTAGGAACGACAGTGTCCTGAAAACAAACAGCAGCCCCCCAAGTGTTCCCGTGCCAGTTCTCCCTGCCCCCCGTCATTCTCAGTCTCATCAAGACTGTCTTTTTATGTAGTTATCATGCATATGATGCAGAAACTGTTAAATGCTGATGCTTTACGAAAGAATAATCTGTATAACTGGCCATTGCGCTTGGAATCCCTAATTGCCTGAGATGAATTAGGCAGCAACTCTATCTCAGTGGTGAAAATCTTTAGGAGAAAACCAGTGCTGGTCCTTAGAACCTGTATCTTTCGTTACCCTGATGTTTAAGTCACTTTTGAATAAATTTGATGAAAGCAGCACTTGTACTTGCATTTCCACCAACACACCCCTCTTTGCATTGTTGTCTGCATGTGTGAACAGAAGGAAAACTTCCCTCTGTGCTGGGGTTTCCGTTGTGTGCTGTAGAAGGGTTGGGACAGATGCATGTTTTTGGAAAATGAGCCGGCAACTGTGAACTCAGTGTATTCTGTCTTAAGATTTGAGGTGAACTTTCCACGTAGGAGAGGCCAGAGGCCAGCCAGGTTATTAACTGAAAAATGGCTTTCGTACGTTCCGTAAAGCTGCTTTAAGTGAGGTCTGGCAAGGCTTCCCTGCAGGTTCTGGCCTGAGAACAAAATGAATGCCTTAAATGTTGTTGTGTCCAGCATGGGAGGCAGTACAGTGCTCTCGTTTTATTTACTCCTAATGTTTTTTAAAGAACAAAAACAAGTGCTACATTCCCCTGTTCTGTTGCAGAGAAGGCTCTGTAGAGGATGGGTTTATGCCTATTTGAAGGGGTTCTAGGATGGGCGTTTCCTCTGTGTTGGGATCTAAACATTTGTGTCCTGCGTGTTAAGCATCTTCCAGGGACAGCCTCTTCTGTGTGTGAACCATCTTCCAGGGACAACCCCTGCTCCTGGTAGCGAAGCAGAGACTGAACTTCCAATGCTGAGTTGCAGCTGGTTGCTTGTTTGGCTTTCGGACTGTTTAATTAAAAAAGGATAACGATTATCTGCAGTAGAATGCAGATAAAATTGCAGATGCATTTGCTTACTATTTGTAGAATTTTGGCCCTCTCTGGAATATGTGTCACTTAGTGATTCTCTTCTGCAAAAAAAAAAAAAAACCATAAAAGAGTAGATAAATCAGAAGCCGAGGCACTCACAAGAAAGCCACCCAGGGCTGCAGGTGCCAGCAGGGCTGGGCGTGGACATCAGGGCTATGAGTCGATCTTCCAGGCTGTCAAGGGCCAGGGCCTTCAAGAGCCCCAGGTCTGACAGGGGTGCCCGCAGCCTACTAGCTGCGGAGTATCTTAATGCCACTCTTGCAAGCAACATAGAATGTCTGTCATGCAAAACAGAGCACATTGAAAGGTTTCAGGGCTCACAGGATCGATGGAACCTCCAGTGTCCCGCTTGATAAATAGGCAGGATGCACGGGCGCTTCCAGGAGCAGTAGCAGTCCTGGCAATGGGGAAGGGATTGGGGTGGGGTAGGGGGTCACGGCGTACAGAAGCCAGCAGCAGCTGTCAGGGGTTGTGGGGGAGTGCGGCACACAGGAGCCAGCAGCAGCCCTGGCGATGGGGGGGGTATGTGGAGCAGCCTGGCACCTGGGCTCCAGGTACTGTGCCCTCCCTCAGGTTGCCCAGCGTTGGAGTTAGGTCACTGCTGGAACTTACACCGTTGGTTCTCCCCTCAGAGAAAGGCCAGTTGCCAAAAAATGACCAGCACTCATTGTAGGGTGGTTGAGATTCTTTGAAAACATGAGTCGGAGACCTTGAAGGGGCAAGGGCTGGAGACGTGCCTGTCCTCAGGCATGTCTGTGTTCATGTGTGTCTAGGCATGTTTGTGTTCACGTGTGTCTTTATGCATGTCTTCATGCGTGTCTATGCATGTTCATGCTTGCCTTTCTTCATGGCTGTCTTCACCTGTGTATGCCTGTCTTCGTGTTTGTATTGATGTGTCTGCCTTCGTGTGTGTCTGTTTTCACCCTTGTGTTCACGTGTGTCAGCCAAGTGGTGGCAGGAAATCACCTGCTCTAGTGAAGTCTGCTCAGTCTTCCTATGTGAGCTGTATTTTCACCCAGGCATGTAAAGTGTTTTCTTCTCTTTAAAACTGTCACTGTCCTGACTGTCCTGTTATATTTTGTGTTTTCTTTTCTACTGATATTAGTTTTAGAGTAGGAAATATTGGGGAAATAGGGGTTTGTGGTGCCTAAACTCAGCAGAAATTTTTTTTTTTTTTTTTTTTTGAGACGGAGTCTCGCTTTGTCACCCAGGCTGGAGTGCAGTGGCGGAATCTCGGCTCACTGCAAGCTCTGCCTCCCGGGTTCACGCTATTCTCCGGCCTCAGCCTCCCGAGTAGCTGGGACTACAGGCGCCCGCCACTGCGCCCGGCTAATTTTTTGTATTTTTTTTTTAGTAGAGACGGGGTTTCACTAGGTTAGCCAGGATGGTCTCGATCTCCTGACCTCGTGATCCGCCCGTCTCGGCCTCCCAAAGTGCTGGGATTACAGGCTTGAGCCACCGCGCCCGGCCAGAAATCTTTTAAAGGACAAATTGCAAGGCGAAAACCAGGAAACTGTTTCCTGGCTACAGGTATCCCCTTAACCTCCTGCTGTCTGAGTCTGTTACCATCTCTCCCTAAACCTCCTGCCATTTGAGTCTGTTACCGTCTCTAGAATGTAGATGTGACAGAATTGATTTCCTTAAAGCTACATTGTGAAAATGTTTATTGAACTGAAAAACATAATTTTTAGCTTTGTAACTACAAAGTATTATTCGGATATCCTGATAATTTAGTAACGAAAAGGCAAAAATTCATGTAAAACAATGAAACAGTAATTCCAGAAAAGATAAAATCTTGTCTTTTGCCCCCTTGTCACAACAGCCATCTTCCGTTTTTTGAAAGTATCCAAGCTAGAAGTTAGCCGGGAGAAAATCGAAGAAGAGGTGTCCACAGGGAGAAGGCTGCTGTCTGGTGCCCACTGGGTGTGGGTGGTGCCTGGATGAGTGACAGGAGAAAACAGCGTAGCTCTGAGACAAAGTGGTTCCAAAGTGAGCACTTCTGACTGCTCAGAA